TTGCTAGTTTCATCTTTTTATAACAAAACGGGAAGCTGAAAAAAATATTAATAAATAACCTTTTTACTAGAAAATATCTACGTAATTTCATTTCTTTAATTTATTCCAAATTTGAGAAAAAAATGAAAACCTAATTTTTACTCCCATTTTTGGAGAAGTGTAACTCCATAGGAAGGAATGTAGGAGTATATGTTTATGAAAAACTTCCCTTAATTTTCGACAAAGAATCATCTCCTAAAATTTTTCGCACTCATTAAGAAACACCCTGTATATTCATACAGACTATATAACTTAGATTATTAATTATTAATAAAACTTCCCTCGGTCGTCTTGTATCTTATATTTTTCATGACATTGATTTATTTAAGTATACGTAGATACACGGAAAGATATGTTCACGCGGAGAGGTAATATCGCATCAAAATAACATTTCTTTCTCGACATATCTGTCTCAGAATAGTAGATTGTATAAAGTACTCTTTGTGGAAAATTATTGCTATTAACCTGTAAGAATAATTCAACAGTCATTGATCCTTTTAATCTTGCGACTCTATAAATAAATTTTCTCCAACGAGATTATCATTCTTTTTTATGTAATAAACAATATATAAATATATATATATATATATATATATATATTTTTTTTAAGTTACACAGTGTTAAAAAAATTAAGTGTAATGCGCGTGGAGTAATCTTATTGATAGTTAAGATGGGTCGATTTTGTTTTATAGACATATATTACGGTAACGAGTTCAATATTATAGCGTGACAACAATCAATAAGATCTGAATCGCAAACAAACATCAATTGGACTTAAGTACACAGTCATTACACAATTGACATTTTGTAAAGTTACCACACATTGAGAAAGATAATAACGCCAATGATAAATGTAAATCTTTTTATAATAACGCGCGCAAACGGAGGCAGTGAGAGAGAAACTTCAATAATCGCGTCCAACAATATCTTTGGCAAAAGTGAGGAAGCACTCGGGTCAAAGTAATAGATTCTAATTAAGTACCTGACACTCGTCAAATGTAATTCGTACAAATTCAAGTTTCGACGCGATATCGACAGTCCCAACGATCCAAGCCCATAAGAGATGTCTAGACATTTTTTCAAGTATATAGGACGTCTCTTAAACGTCTTTAAAAATACGCGTTTATTAAGTGCGCGTGTCATTTGGAGTTTTACACAGCCCCCTTCCTTTTTCTCAAGTGTTATATGACATTATTAAGGGCAACGTGTGTAACTTCGAGCACGTGACGTTGGAATCATGCTTGCAAATTCCTTTGCCGATTACGCTAGTGGAATGTATTTATAGTATTCGGATTACGCGGTAGTATTGAGTGGATCGGATTAAGATACCGTCGCGGCTAAAACGTGCCAAGTATTTCGCAATTCATCGCTTTTCATGCGTCTCATCATTTATCAATGACAGATTCAGGCGTTGCGATTTATTTTTTTGCGATATTAAAATTTCTACATACTTATAAAAGTAATGAACAGAAATTGATTTTATTGCAAATGCCGGGATACGTCTCTAAAAATTGCGATGTAAAAAAATTATAATTTTTCTTAATATATCCGATCAAATATATGGCACAATATATGAATTAATGAATATTCCAATTAAATTTTAAATCGTATTTTTTCCATCGGCAAAATCCTATCGAAACGATTAAACAATTTTTTACATGTTCAAAGACATCGATCTGTATGCAATTAATATTATTGCGCGTGCAAACGTCATCCAGAAGTATGACATCAAACCATCGTCTCCCGAAAGATCTTCACGGATGAGTCCGAATGCTTAGTATGTACATATCTTGTTATCGTCCTCACGGCATTATTGTTATTGTTGCTAATGCCGTTGAATATCTCGCTGCTTCTCAGCCCGGGCTTCGTCTCTGCTTGCGTTTCCCTCGTTGTTTCTGCGGCCAGGAACGACAATATTTTTCTAAGTGACAACTGTTATTATGCATTGTTGTGAAAAGCCGAATTGACACCAAGATCTCATGATAATATCTGACAAAGTCGATTCCGCGGATGGTCTCGAAATCATTTTTACATTCTTCAATTGGCAAAAGAATGTCGAATGATATTCACGAATCATTATTTTTATTATCGAAAAAAAAAAGTAAGAATATTATATCGGAATATTTTCCCATTTTAATCTCAAGGAAATAATTTTTATCATCGTCTCATGTATTGAATCTTGTTTAATTATAAAAATAGTACATGTGCATGAAACAATAATAAAATTCTCAAATTTATATATAATGCAACAAATAACTTGTGAGATATGTAAAGTGTGCGAACAATGTATGGGAGAAATTTGTTCTAAACCATCAAATATGAGCAGATATGCATTTTTTATATCACAAAAATATATAAACAAACTTCTCGTGTTAAAAAAAATGGTTAATGACACTGCATTCGAGACGCAGTAGCGCAGATCGCACAAACAAGTGCATCTATTTTATATCTAGAATGCTTACCAGATGTTTCTTTTCTTGAACAATCGTACCACGACCCGCCGCAACATCGGGTTATATATAAATTGCGATTGTATTACGCGAGAAAGATCATGAAAGACAAACTGTGATAATAAGAGAAATATGTGAGGAGTAATATTAAAAGTAAGAATAAGCAAGAATATACTGCTGAATATTCTAAAAAGCGTCGAAGCTTATAAATAGATCAGATTTCTGTAAAATCATTATTTTTTGTTTATGCGAGTATAATAATAATAATCATCATAAAAATGTTGAAAAATACATATGCGCAAGGAAAAAGTATGCTCAGCAAAGAGAATATTATTTATTTATTTATTCAAAATTTCTCTCAGATCTGCCATACTGCGCCCCACGATTAAAATTGACGGCTGCAAATGTCAGTTATTGAAAAGTGCGACTCAACGTGCGGGGTGTAAAATTAAATAAAAATACACACGCGCGCATCGTGTGTGAAGCAATAATCGATAAGTATTCGGAAAAATAAAAAAAAGTGCAATAAAATCGCCATTCACAACAGCAGTAGCACACTTAATTTAGGCGCTCGTGACATACAATAGGACAAACGTTAGCGTACGTAAAATTCCAGACACGTCTCTAACATAAGCACACGCAGAAACTTTTGATTCATTCGTAAAAAAACTTGAAATAACACGTATTTCCCATGGATCAATAAATTCTTCATTTTTTCAGAGATTTTAAATTACTGAAATAATTTCCGTATAGAAGATTATCGTGACATATATCATTATCTATATTATCTTATCTTGTCTATATATATATATTATCACATGAAACATAATAATAACATAAAAATGAAAAGAAAACGCAATAATAGAAAGAGATCGCTATTCATCATCTCTTAAAAGATTTGAGAATTTTTTTTTCTTTTCGCGACACAAATGACAAACAGATAAAAAAGAAGCACGCTATCTCTTAAAATCATATTTATTATTTAATAAGCATCTATTACGGTAACAAATCGATAATTGTATTCGCAAAGATCGAAACTGAAGGATACAAATAAATAAAGCAGTATTCATGTGTGTGTATGAAAAATAAATTTATATTTACAAAATAAAGAGATATAGGATATATATATATATATATATATATATATATATATATATATATATATATATATATATATATAGGAAAGGGTCTTGTGTCGAGATGTGAATTATTTACACGGTACATTCCAACACGACAGGAATTCGCGATACAAATTCTAATCAGCCTACGCGGTAGAAAATAAGACAAAAAAATGCAGTACAACAACGTTCGGAATCTGCGCGCGCGCGCAAACTCATCGTTTTAAGACTAATATGGCAAATGGAAATCGATTGATACGGTGCTCGGGCAATTGCCGTAGATGTAAAACTGATTCCCCGCGATCGAGAATAATTTCAGCGCGAACGGGGAGAGGTATAGCATTAAGTCACAATTGTCGCGACATTGCTCGACGTGTCCATCGCATCTCGTGGCAAGAAAACATCGGGATTAATCGAAATTGATTAATCTCTCCTCGAGTCGTCCGCGCGTCCCGTCGTCAATTCGCTTCCCTTCTCGAAACAATTTCATCGCTCGGTATAATTTTATCTACCTTCCATCTCCTCGTCAAGGAAAGATTGTAGGACTAACGAGAATCGTGGACACGTGGAACTAATGTAAACGCTGACATAACAAATAAGCTCGAATATCGTGCGTTCCTATTGTCGAAAAAATTTCCATCCCTTCGACATTCCAGTCGGTTCAATTCTATAAAGATCTATTCATGCGTATAACTGATATGTTTGATATAACATTCTCCTGCCATTTTTCCGGACAATCGTGAACAACGTTGAAACAAACTAGGCAAAAAAATTCCTTCCTGCCGCTCTCGTGACAGACCGACGTCCGTCACTTAAATTAATATCTGCTCTCGCTTAACAAGCTACAACGAATCTAACTTTGGCAGTAGTGTCCACTTAAAACGTGCTCGTAAAAAAATTCCAGCGAATAGATATCTTCTTGGCAAGGGCGCAATACGTGTGACAATGTGATGCGTTTGTGTGGAATGCTCTAAAAAAGAATTTAAAAGAAAAAAAGACGCATTGCCAGACTTGCAATATCACCGTCAAATTCTTTATCGCTACGTCGTGGAACGAGAATAAAATGTTTGAACGATACACGATGACAATACTATTCAATTGTGTGAAGCGATCACGTAATAATAAATAAAATCTTTATATACATGTACATGTGTATTCACACCTATAAATAAATCTATAAAATCAAATTACAATTAAAATATAATGTATTGCAACAGAATCAAGGACAAGAACACTGCGAGGTAATAATTTCCTTGAAGACGATTATTTTTCTTGATCATGCGCATCGAGGATCCCACGCACGATTTTTAGATCATTTATAATAACATAATAAAGTAACATAATAGGACTGCTCGACTCGTAAAAGTATAGTCATAAATCATATACCGGTAACGACTTTATCAGTTTGTACGTATTATTTGACACTGTACAGCGGCAAAACTATCTATCATAACTTATTAACTCCTTAACAAATTCGTACGTTCTAAATAACGCGACATTATGTAACGTCACGTGTGATTATACTAGTTACAAATATACAAGTACAACGAAGGGAACAGAATTTTGCATCACTTGGATACTATCTTCTAGGAAATATGTGTAAAATCAATGTCGATGTTAAATCATGCACATGCAAAATATCATTTCACGCCGACAATGTCTCTCCTGGCATGCAAGGTAGAGCAAATCTTCGATTATTAAGATCTTATTAAGATCCTTTTCTTTTCATGTCTTCGACAATGAAATATACAAAGTGCGTCTGTTCACAATTCGTAGTATCCTTCCATTAATTGCATTATTAATTATTACGATCTACGCCTAAGAATGTATTGCAATTAATCAGGCATGTCGTCAACGATAAAATAATATACACACCGTTTAAAAATAAATTATAGTCTCACTAAGCAGAGAGTGATGCGATTATAAATGCTACCACTACTACTTAGCACTACAGAATGTACTAGGGAGGGAAAACGAGGGAACAAAATTTATCGAAGGAATATTCTGTGCAAGTAGAAAAAAAAAAGAGTAATCGCCATTTTCAAAAAACGGAAAATATCGACGATTTTACTGACTTGCGCACGCGTAATATTTTTCGATAGGAGAGAAAATTATCGATTCTTTCTGCTCTTGATTTTTACAGGCACAATATGATAAATAAAACGAGGAACATTATACACAAATTCTAAGGCAGATTAAAGCGAGAATCCTCTCACGACACTACGCAACAACACTTTTTACATCTAGTCCGTTTCCCTATAATATTGTATCGTTCAGTGACTTTGTAAGCTTTCAACTTTAACCTGGCATTCCCCGCGTGATCACTGATATCCTGACTGTGCACAGAGTTGCTTCTCGTGCACATCTTTTGTTTATTCTCACAACTTATAATCTCTGCGTCGTGACTTACTGCATGATCCGCCTGTACGTCTGAATATATCTTTATCACATTGCTGTCACAGTCTCGATCCCCGAGAGGCTCTGTCTGCGAGCTGGGTTTCTCGTACGACTTATCGTTGACTTCCACCTTCGTCGTTACATTCGGATCCGTGTGGGCTTTATCGTGATTCACGTACACCTTCTGTAATGTTTGAGAATTCGGTTGATTTTCGGAGAATCGCGTATTCTTGTCTTCGAAACAAGATTTGTTCAGAATATCACGCTCCATGATCACTTCGTCATTAGTCCTATCCTGAAAGATGTTGTTTTTCGTATGAGATGTACTTTTCACGAGAGCTTGCGCTTCTATTATCTGACTTTTCGTCTCGTTGCACATGTCGCACTTGTCCTCGATGAATTCTTCATTATCCTTTTTGCTGTACGAATTTTTGCTCGATGCCGACTCGATGCTCGAACCTTTCGAATACGTATTTTTAGTTTCTATTCTCTCGGCATTGGAAGTCAATCTGTTACTTCCTTCCTCGTCCGTCTTGTCGCAGATCTCGTCTGATTTTTCCGAACTCACGGCTTCGCCGCTCAGCGTTTTCGTGCGACCGTCCGAGTACGCGCTCAATTTATTTTCCGAATAATTGCTCAATCTGTCATCGTAGAAGTACACGGAGCTCGCGTTTGATTCGAAATTGCTCGCGTTTATTATGGCTATTCGCGGTATGATTAAATCAGGCGGTATTCCGTCGATGATCTCCGGCTGGCTTGAATTCGAGGAGGATTGATTCGCGAAATTACTGAAGGAGTGGTACCCCTGGTGACCCTTACCTTGGATCCACGCCTCCGTTAAAACGTGGGATCGTTGCCAGGACACGTCACTATTGCATCTGTTTTTTCTCACGCACCAGTGCTTATCCTCGGTGTCGGGCCAGGAACGCAGATGGCACTCGCTGGGACTCCTCTTGATATCCGAGACATCTACATCCGTGTCCTCATGCTTCTTATTTTGCACAATTAATTCCAGCCTGGATTTCAGCAGAGCCGGTGATACAGCTCGGTCGATGAGACGTCTCGATGTGATCTGGTTCGATCGCGTTGCGGACGACGCGACATTGTTATTGTCGATGTGCTCCGTATCTAGATCCGGGACCTCTCCGGAGGCCATAAGCGTGTTCGGACTCGGACTGTCCATACTATCTGGCGTGTAGGGATCATGCTTAATGGGTATTGCGTGCAACAGATTAGACGAACGATCAACAAAATCTGCGCGCGCGTTAGCGTAACTATTGCAACCAGGCAACATGGACAACAACTCCGGATAATTGTTGGGCACTCGGAAGCAAAACTCAGGTGCAATTGGCAAGCTGCAGCAATCTATCATACCTGCGTCCGAGATGAGACTAGCCTTCAAGTAGACTGGCTGTAAATGGCAAGAAGAATAACGGATCTTTATGTATCGTTGTGCATCATTGCAAGAGAATGATAAAGATGATATATGAAGGATGCGTACTGTGTGGAAATCTATGAATGTGGGGGACAGTTTCAAACTAATGTGTTTTAGAAAAATAATGATGTGCCATAATAATGTACTTTTCAATCTGTAAAATTCGTCGATTATGAAATGTACGCGTGAAACTTTAAAACTGCAATATTTTGAAGCATTATAGTAATACGGATTTTATTATGACAAGAATTTTTGTGTTACTCTGAAAAATTATGTCGCGATATTTATCATGATTAATGATTCAATTAAATCTATTGTAATAATAATGTGATAATTACCTGCAAATTATATTTTATACATGTGATAAATTTATTTTTTATAAAACAATGTATTTTTAATTTATTAATTTTTGTGGTTGATATAATTATTGTGAGAGTTTGATTATCGTTTCTCATTATATTTATAGCATCATGCAGTAACAAGTGTTATTTTTATGTAATTGCGATATATTTATGTACAATGTATAATGTAATAAAGTATCATTCAGCATTACAAAAGATAAAAAAGTGCGTAACAAGCGTTACAATGCGTATCGGCAATTAGATTGAAACAGTACAATTATTCCATGATAGTAATAGTGATAAGAATGATATTCAAAGTATAAAATGTAGAAGTAAAGTTCTTTGGAATATACTACGTGTGTGCTACATTAAACAAGCCCCTATATATGTTTATTGTCGAGATAACGGAATATACTAACAGAATAAAGAGACGTGAAAGAGATGTGGGGGATTCGAGAGATAAGAAGAACAGACAGACAGTTCATAGATAGGTACCTTAGTGCTTAGAGATTCATTCGAAACTCCAGAAAAACAGGCTGCACCATAATAATCGAAAGAATGGTTCATCAGAATAAGAACTAGGAAGTGTGTAAATACATGTTCCCAGCATATAATAAGTAAAAAATGTCGCAGTATCGTTTTATAAATGTAAGAAAAATGTACTAATTTTTTTTGAAGGATCCTTGTCTTACCTTGTGATCACCCATGCATGTAGTTGAGCCGATTACACCGTATTCCACTGCCTCGGAAACGTCAATCTGCACACACAGAAATACGGGAGTCACGTTGGGCAATAGATTTCAATTTTTAGAACCGTTTCGTGTCGCGCGTGATCAGGAATATAAATTTCACAGAAATACATACATCTTGAACTAGTGTTTTCGCAGAGGGACTCAACAAGACCCGATCGCACCAAGCCGGCACTCTCGTTTGCATGTAATTCACAGGCTCGTTGACATCTTCTTGAAACGGATAACTTGGCACGAAATTGATTGGAAACTCGAATAACCGTCCTTCAAAATCTCCAAGTTCCTTGTCATATTCGCGTAACTGCAAATAAATATTAAAAGTTGTATTATTAATACATCCTCTGACTTGATAAGTACAATATATAATATAAAATAATATAATATAAATATAATAAGTAATTTGTTTTATTTTATATTATATTATATATTATATATATTTACCCATTCGCCGCCATTCTTCATGAAAACATTTTGATGTTCATAATGTGAAAATTCCTTTTTCCCTAACGTTAATATGAGATCATCGTCTCTATTGTGAAATTGCAATTTAGAAATATTTCCTTTATTCGATAACCTCCTTTCTTGAGTATCTTCTGTCAGTTTCTATTAAAGACAAATTAAAGTGCTGTAATATATTGGAATTTAATAGAATTGCTTCATTGGCGTGTACCATAATACATGGAAAGTAAAGTACGTTTGTGTATCACTAGATATATTATTTTTAAAAACAATACATGTATCATTTTAATTAAGTTTATATGAAACGCAAATGGATATTTAATTCCCTCCTTGTTTTTTTATTCCATATTATCGTAATTGCTGACGAGTCTCACCTTTATCACGCTTGCCGTGTCCGTCCTAAAATTAAAGTCGCCAAATAAAAAATACGGCACATTTGGATACTTGTCGTTATGAAATTTATCTAATGTGTGCTCGAGCGCTCTTCTGCGCGTTTTACTGTATACCGATGGGAACTGTGTGTAAAGAGATTAAAAAAAATAAATCATATATACACGCATATATACATAATGATGTAGAGGATCATATTCGTCTTGAAGAATATTCTTTACCGTCTCCATAGCAATAAAATTGCTCGCGTCGTGAAATAAGTGTATGTTTATGAGATCAAAAATTGTTCCACTAATATTCCATCGAGTCCGTAGGAAACCTTTCCTGGACCATTTGCATTCTGGGAAAAATTCTTGAGGAAACTTGGCTTTTTCTTTGGTTGTAACTGCTTCTATGTTGCCAGAATGAACTTCCTTTCCATTTACCGGTATAAAAGTACATTCTAAAATACAGATAAGTAGAAAAGATAATATTTATATCTATTTATTTCTATCTATTTATTCTTTTTTTTAGATAACTAGTGGATCATTGAGATAATTATTGAGATAATTATTGGAAAGAAAATTATACGCAACGTACCGTTAAAATCCCATAATAAAACATCGCTTAAGGACTCATGTACGAAATAGAAATTTCCTAGAGCCTGTAAAAAATAATCTTGATAAGAATATTGTTCTTGAAGAATCGATTAATTAAGCATAATTAATAGTACATATTCTTCAACTCACTGTGAAATGTTCAGCGGATGAATAATCCTCATCAAGAAATACTCTGATTTTGTCAAACAATCTTAATTCTTCCGATGACATAAGTAATCTACGCAAACAATATTTATATGTCAAATTATAAATTATATTTCGTATGAAATTAAATTTATAAACTTTATGGATAAACGTAAACAATTCTTTTATGCAGTTTTAAACAACTTTATATATATGTATATATATTTTTTTAATACGTATATATGAATTTCTCCCCTATTAATATCATACAATCATCTTTTGAAGCGGCTCACTCAACTATAGAGCTACGCGTGATATTATGATACGTCTATTTTTGCGCCTTTTTGCCAGTTATGCGTTAAATTATATTCGATATATCGAGTGTGTGGAAAGGGAGAGCTATTTGCTACTTTACGCTATGGTTTATAAAGGATTTGTTTACACTATCAACACAGTGATAAGAATCAAAAGTGAGAATGTTATAGGTAACTATCGGAAGATTTCTACAAACAAGTTTAACAGGCAAATGTGTAGGCTCTTATCCGAATAATTGAATTAGAGTCAAATATTGTAGTTTCTGGAAACCTTCCAAGAAGCACCACTAATTGTATAAAGCGTTTGAAAAATCTAGGAAAGAAGTTCATATTGCATTTTAATAATATTTCTAATAATATTTGAAATTTTTCTGCAAATTTTCTTTATATTGGAAACGACAAGTAGACTAATTTATAGGTCGCAAAACGCGAGAGATTTACCTAACAAAGTCTTCGACGTGCCTCATGCTCTGCTCGTAATTTTTTCCACCTACTTCTTGGCAGTGCAGTGCTATAAATTTCGGATCTAGTTTCGATATGGTCTGAAAAGGCAATTTGCACGTAAGCACAAACCCAGAGCGCGCCTTCTTGTTGACGTATCGCGTAAAGGAATATACTTACGGATAAAAATTCCTCCGTCCATATCTTTAGCATGACACTAGGCTGCAAGGAGAAAAATCAGTGATATCAGTCTCACGAAACCTTCATACCTGGTGCACTTTAAACAAGAGCTTAATGAGATGTTGGACGGCGCGTGGATATATTAATAGATACCGTTAACGTCACGCAAGGATACCGATATCCCGGCTCATCTTTCTCCCCTTATTACGGCGATAAAATTCTCTCCTTCGCATTTCGCATAAATGATACGATAATCGATCATCGCGCGCGAATCCGGTATAAACAAGCGTAGTACGTAACGTAGGTGTTTCGATAAAAATGCACACGTACATACGTTCGATCATGCGAGGAAATTAGTACCGGGATGGAAATATCAACAAACGTCTTAGCGAGCGAAAGATACGATGATGCGTTGTTTCTTGATTCTTTCACGATGACACGGAGAGAAAAATTCCCTCGCAGGGAGAAAATCTTTCGTTATCTTGTATATTTATTCCCCTCTTTTTATCGGAATATTTTTATTAGTCGTTTTTGGTTGATTATTGAAATTAAAATTGACGCGAGTTTGTATTTTTCAATCAACGAAAAAAATTTAAATGCATTCACACGTTAAAATATACTTTTACAAATTTTTTAAATAATTCTAAAAATTATTATAATTTAAAACTTAATTTCTATTTTTTTTGAATATACTTACTAAATTTTTTATTCCTTTTAATTTATTATTATTTTCAATTTTATCTATTTTTTTAAATGACTTTTTTATTATCTGATTTTTTGTAGAAATTAATAATTTTATATTTATTTGTCTTTTATATAAATCAAACTTTTTAATAAAACAATTATCTTTTTTTATTTTATTATTCAAGCTATTGCTTCTTTATTTTTTACATTTTCTCTACTTTTTAACTTTTATTTCTTTTATAAACTTAATTTTTTTAGAATAATTTTTGAGCTTTAAACTTGAAACTTGGCATTCCATCCCTTCCTTCATTTATGAATAAATTATTTTCTTTATCAATTCAAAAATCTCTAATTTCTCTCGACTTAATAATTGATTTTGATAGGATAAAGTTTCTCTTCTCCGATTCGAAAGAGGCTGCTGCTCGAGAAACAACGGTGACGTTTTATTTCAGAATCAAACTAGCAAACATATTTTTCGCATACTTTTTCGAATTACATAATTCCTTTGATGTGTGCGTGTGATTCATTCCGCGGTATTATATTATCCGATCGTTAATGTCATACGAGGAATTATCGTGAATATTCGTCATCGCGCTTTTCAAACACGTGGCAATAATAAGAAGTGATAAAAAGAAGTATTGAAAACTTAGGGAGACTCCGAAATATAAATTTCTTCTCATTGGACTTTTCAAAATTACCCGCATTCAAGAAAGAAACAAATGTAACGCTTTAAATGATCGAGTACGCTTCAAGATGTCACATATATATTGCATGCAACCAGAAATACGATCAAAGTGACAGCGAATCGTGGAGTCTCCCGGCTCGGGTTTCTATTTACACGCAAAATTTCTTCAAACAAATAAGCCCGAGTTCAAAGGATCTCCTAATAAAGTCACATTACGTCGACATCTGACGGACTTAGCGTCTCGAAACGAAAGAAACGCGCGTTTGAATATGATTGTGCAAGCGAGGGAAAAGAAAAGAGGGAGAAAGAGAGAGACCGAGAAAGAGAGAAATTTTGAAAGCGGACTCGAAATGTCATCGGACTGACATTTTTCTCTCCTCGACAGAACCGATCGCTCGGCACATGTGCTAAACAACGACTGCCGTATGTGTACAAAACACACACGGATACGCGAAATCCGTTACGCCTCAGGTTAAACCGGCGACGACGACGACGACGACGAGGATGGGCAAGTAGGTCGACTTAGGGGACGAGCGATATCGGCGCGAAATCGACGAAAGCGAGAACGAGATCGATCGATCGGCCGCGCCTCGCGACCAAACGTCACGCGTGCAAATGTCAAACGTACCTCCTCGAAGATGCTGCCGACGTTCGCGGTGATGAGGAGGACCGGGACGCCGTTGCCCGCCATTCTCGCGGTGGGCTGTCGCCTTTCTGGAGAAGCGAGGGATATCCCGGACTTTGTCGGCACCGGCGACGAGAACAGCCGGACACGCTCCGGATCCTGGTCGATACTCTTGTGCGGATCCTGCTCAACACTCGACACCACACGCGCACCGCACCGGACAGACGCACTCTCTGGACTCAGCTGACGACGACGAAGCGGAATCAGCAGCACTGGCAGCACCCGCGGCCGCGCGACGATCGACGGCGGCCGCGCACGTCGCTCGTTCGCACGCACTCGCACACTACTGTCGACGCTACCCGCACCACGCAAACTCTGGCGGCCGTCAGTCGGCACGTTCCACCTCGCTCTCGCCCGTTGCGTTTCTCTCCTTCTGCCTGCGTCCTCTTCCCTCGCCGCCTCCCTCTCGGCGATCCGTGTTCTCTCGTACCTTTCGGGGAAAGCGTCGACGTTAAATAGCCACGATGTCGTCGGGTCGAAGGACCAACGATGAGAGGTGGAGGCGAGTCAGCCACCACGTCGAGAGGAAGCCGTGCTCGCGTACCGTGCGATGCACCGCTCGTCGCGTCCGACCTCAACGCTGCCGCGCTCTGCAAGTATGTATGTACACATTGTCAATCGACGGGGGAGGAGGTGGGCGCGGGGAGGAAAGAAGAGAAAGAGAGAGAGAGAGAGAGGAAGCCGGTCCCTCTTGCGTCGTCGCGTTGGCGCACGAGAGAGAGAAGAGCCGTGTACGCGCGGTAAATATATCCCTCTATCGGGCCGCCAGAGCAAGACACGCCCACCGCGGACGTCAATAGCCAGTGCCGTGCCTATCACGTGCGCCGCTGGTCAACACGTGCCGCACGTGCGGGGCGCCGCTCGACGCTATCTTCTCTCCGATCGATGGAGAGAATTTCTCGTCGAGTCTTACTCCAATAAAGAAAGATAATTGGATCCAACGTAAAGAAAGTTAACAGCGTTAACGGGAGTCGAATCTCGCGAAGATTCCCTCGAGATTTTCTGATTTTTCTGAGGCACTTTTGTTCGAAATTCTCCAGGGGGAATATTTTATTCAAGAGAATATCTTCGGGATTTTTTCGTTCTTTCTAAAATGAATCTTTTTAATAAAATCTTTTTTATAAAATTTTTTAAATAAATTCTTTTATTCTATACGTTTTCCAATCATAAGGAGGAGAATAGAGCCACTTAAGCTTCATTTAAGTAACTAGATTTGTAAGTGTACTGAAGAAAAAAATGGAATAGCTTTCGAAAGATGGATATTTTCTATTTGCGTAACATTCTCATTTTTTTATCATTAAAAATTAATTGCATTACATTTAAAAAATTGTACTACACATTTATATTTTGTTAAAACATTGAATATATAAACAAAGGCAAACATCCATATTTATAATACATTTTAAACATACATAATTCATTTGTCTTGCTAACTGTTTATGAAAACAAAATTATTAAGGAGATATTTTTAATTCCCCGAGTTTCAATAAAATTCCATAAAAATTCCCTGATTTTGATGGGTTCCAGAAAAGATTCCTAAGAATTTCAATATTTTTCATATTTTTTCTGGCTGTAGACACTTTGATTAACAATTTCAGGAATATTTAAATAATGTCCAAGGGTTAAAAAATTCTATTCTATTTGAATAATAATTAGAAAAAAAACACGAGCAATCCTTGCAGATGATTATTAAAAAATAAGAAAGATATAATAAATTTGTTATTCGATGAAATATTGCATAAGAAAGATACCAATTTCATTAACTGATAACTATTTATCTGTTATTTATAGTGTGGATAAGTTCTCAGTTTAATTGAGATAATAAATTGAAAATTCATATGAATAAGAAAAAAAAATGATTTACGTGATCCGAGTAATTCTAATAATTCGCTCACGTAATACAGACATTATCCGAATGAATTAATACTACAAAAATAGGTGATATGCATATACGTGGAAGATTCAATTGAGAACGTAAGAGATGTATAATTTAACGATTGCAACCGGGGAAAGTTCATCAGCAAATTGATCAGTTGGCTCATTTTAGAAAAAGACCGAAGTCATCAGCGTGTGATTCAGAAAACGAGCAAAAAAAGAAAAAAATTGCACGCTTAACCGGCAACGGTGTATCGTTTATCGATACTCGTCGTGAAATATTCGTGTCGCAACCGCGGCTACCAAATATCAGTGCCAATCGATACAGGATCGATCGATATTCTCTGGCATCGTTCAACCAGGTTTGTGACGCGGTTGTGATAAATGACAGAGAAGCCCCGAGATTTTTTACGCGCGACTGGACATCGGTGAATGGTTATCGTAATGGCATTGTTTTCTCATTGCTTCGGCTTCGGGAAAATTGCCGATGACAGCTCGGAAAGCACTCGGAACTCGCGGGTTTTCACGAGTGAATTTTAAATTTGCGACAAGAATATATCGATCCTGGGAAGGTTTTCTTCGGGAAACTATGTCATGTACCTCATATCGATTGGAATTCAGGAAATCTATGTCGGATTACTCATATACGATATATTGCACATATATAGGATGTTTCTTAATAAGTGTGATTTTAGCAGATGATTCTTTTCGAAAATTAGGAAAGGTTTTTCATATAAACATATACTCCTACATCCCTTCCTGTGTGTTAGTTAAAATGGGTGTAAAAAAATGAGGTTTTTATTTTTTAGGTTTTTATTATAATTTTGTCTTTGTTCCAATTTTCCCAACATTTCTAATTTTATTTTTATTTTAAAATTTAACTTCTCGTAATTCGAAACCTATGCTATTTAGCATCGTGATGTGCACGATAACGTATTTTATTTTTTTTCATGAAAACTATTGATTTCATGATTTTTAATGCATATTTTTAGATGATCATATTCCGGCTCATTAAAGTTTTAATAAAAAATTGAATAGGGGTTGCTAGTTTCATCCCCTTATAACAATACGGGAGGCTGAAAAAAATATTAATAAATAACCTTTTTACTAGTATAAAATATCCATTTAATTTCATTTCTTTAATTTATTCTAAATTTGAGAAAAAAATAAAAACCTAATTTTTACTCCAATTTTTGGAGGAGTGTAACTCCACAGGAAGGGATGTAGGAGTATATGTTTATATAAAAAACTCCCCTTAATTTTCGACAAAGAATCATCTCCTAAAATTTTTCGCACTTATTAAGAAAACTTATTAAGAACACCCTATATATATGTGCAATAGCGCGTTTAATGTAATGCTGCGTATGACATTGGATCGAAGCGATAACTCGATATAGAGGATTCTTTTAAAAAAGTTGCGTGAAAATTGTTTCTAGAATTCTCTAAAGCAAGATATTGAAATTTTAAATGCGTTTGACGTGTTAAATTATTTTAAAAATTAATATATTCTTTTTCTGATTAATCGCTTGTATTTTCATTTCAACGTTTTCTATTCATTACGAGAGAATACGTAATTTTTTCTTATTGTTAGCGTTTCTTATCACACACAATGTTTCTATAGCGTGCAAAAAAATGCGAATCGATATTCTTTATATATAAGCTAAAGGTAGCTTACATAAAATATGAGCTAGTTATTATGTATTTTATGTAAATTAAAACAACGATAAAAATCTTATTATTATAATATGTAACCTTTATGTCGCTCGCGTTATATATATGTCACGTTATATATTTTTTTAATAAAAAATATAGATATACATATATTTAAATATTATATATTTACTTAATTAATTCACCGCTTTTTCATGTTTTATTCCTTTTTCTAAAAGCTAAATTATCTCGTTTTAAATGCGGAAATTGATGCAAAAAGAAATAAATCTTTTTACGTAACAAATGTCATAATAATAATAATTGAGATAATACTCGATATAGAAAGCAAACAATATTGCGAAATATTCTTTCAAATGATCGAATGAAAATTTGACACACATTATTTCTTCAAGATTCTCATAAAAAACTTTTACTTATGTATCCCTTTTTCAAGATTAATGTACGTGTTAAAAAAGGCAACACTTATAATTTTCTATGCATAAATAAATCATATCAACTTTATTTTATAAAAATCCGAGATCAAAAAAGATAAGATCTGCTGAGCAATTATGCGGAACTAATAGTCTTTTGTAAGAAAAGAGGTCTTATTATTAGACAATCCAAATAAAGTGCACACTAAGAAAGACGCAGTGGATTTACGTCACGAAATGTAGCCTTGTATAGTTGATAATTTTTGCTCAATCGGATTCTTTGTTAGCTATTGGAAGTCGCTGAGTTTTCGATCAGATAGCGAGTAAAAACTAATCAAACATCAATCACGTCAAAATGGGCGGGACGAAAGTTTTAATAAAAGTGTGTCGTGGCAAAATGTATGAAAAACGATAATAATAGTTGCGTCAATGAAAGCGATTACGTTTGTTGGAAACTTGATTGGTCGAATCAACGAACGTCATTATCATCCGTATACGAAAGAGAGAATGTATGAGTGTATGTTGTTGTAAGATAAATCGCTTGCAATTCTCTTAATATATACGAAAAAAATAAGCTATGACAGCGCGATCGTAAACGAGAAAGAAAGAGATTCATTATAGTTTGAAGATAACGACAAAAATAGAAGTGTACTGTTATAGTACTTGCCTCTGAGAAGCGGAAAAATTCAGAAACCATATGTGTAATTTAAGCCTATTATCTCTTTTTTTTAAATGTCACGGTAAAAGGAAAAAAATGTTTCTGAAAACTGTTTAAGTATCTATCTAATTGTTGATAATTAATCATTCTCCAATCTCTTTATTTGCACAGTAAATAGAATAGTTTTACATTTAAAATAAATTAAATTAATAATAAATTAAATTTAAAATAAATAGATAAATAAAATCTCCTTTTAATCGCAGAGGAAATAAAATATTTTGATAAATTTAAAATATGAATAAATGAAAAGATAAAACTATAAAAGTATATACGTTATATATATATATATATATATATATATATATATATATATATATTTGCTTTTTAATTCTTATATTTGTATTATATGAGAATTATATTATATTATATTAATATTATATTAATATTATATTATATTAATATTATATTATATTAATATTATATTATATTATATTATATTAATATTATATTATATTATATTATATTAATATTATATTAATTATTCATATTTTTATTCATATGTTAATTATATTTTATCACACTTAATTAATTATATCTTGTCATATTATGTCATATTGGCATCGTATTATGTTTCTTATCCGAAATATAACGAAATATTGGGTGTACGATCGATCAAACGAATTTATTAATTGAATTTTTCGGACACCGTACTATCAAATATTATATCGATATCCATATTATTTATAACATTAATCGAGACCATGTCCGGGATTCGAGAAACAATATTGCCGGCCCTGAAGACGGCGCGTGTAGTCGGAAGCGATGTTACAGCTGCGCATGTGAACCGAAGAGCTTACGCTCCTCTCGGGCTTTTTTTCTTCCTCTCTCTCCCGACGTCGTCGATCCCCGGACGTAACATCCCGTTCGGTCGCGGCGTACCGTCGTCGCCGATCACCCTCGAATTGTGCCGGCGCAAATTTCTAAGCCGCCCGCCGTCTAATTGTGTCCGTGAACGGGTGCTCCGGCTGCCTCATCGCGTCGGCGCTTTTTGTCCCGCCGTTTTGCACCTCAATGCGCATCGCATTGACCCGGTCGACGGATATCGTCTGCATCGCCGACATACGGTCCCGGCTTCCGTGAGTTTCGGCACGTGTGCGTATCTTCGAGTAGACGGATATGTGCATAAGTGCGTAATAGAAACGCACGCGCGACCGACGACAACGTCAACGAGGGCGAGGATGTGACGTCGGAGAATAATCAGCGGGATTTTGCAGGCGCGACGCGTCAATCGAGTGGGTTTTTTCGAAGTAAGATTCGCCGAAGGTAGATTTTGGAGACGAGAGAAAGAGAGAAAGAGGGAAGGAGAGGGAAATTCGGGCCTTCGATAATCGATACCGCGTCGCTGGCGTTTCGCGACCCGCTGGGAAATTAAAGCGACACAGTCAGAAATATCACGACGCTGAGCTTGAGCTGCATCTGATCTTAGAGATCTCTTTTTAGGTTTATTGTTCGCGTAGTTGCTACACCTTCGGTGATTGTATCTCTTCCCGAGTCCGTTTCAAATTTTTCCAAATTGTCAGTGATTTTCAACACACATTGTATGTCCCAATCGTTGTAGTAGAACGTAAAATCTCAAAGAAAAATCACGAGTCTTTCAATTACATTGTATTTGGAATTTTGTACAGTATTCTCTTTTGCAATTTGTCTATTCTACAATGTGCAAAAATCGGTGAACCTTTGAAACGTTTGATAGATTATATGTACACAGTAAAAAATTGTGCGTCCATATATTAAAATTTTCTTGTGTTACCACCTTTTGATTAGTACTTCAATTAAAATTCACTAAAATTAACATTCAACCTATATATTATTATTTTTATAACGTGTTTCATATGTTACATTTATGTCCACTAATCGTTTTAAACAATCAACATGTCTCAAAGTCAGTTTAACATTCTAAGAAAAGTTAAAGTGAATCTCCAAATAATCTTGAACTTTGACATGCAAAAATCAAATGTTTCTATTACAAATAATTTATGTTAAAATAATTACTATTATATGTTAATGTCTTCAACATTTCTTACGAATTATTGTAATTTTTTCATGTAATTTCTAATTAACTTGTATGTTATTTTTACATTACACTTAAAGTTACAAAAACAAAAAATAAATGTAAAGTAAAAATAAATGTAAAGTCGTGTCAATTATATAACAGTTAGTTTGTCAATAAGTAACATACGACGAATGAGTTATTTTAAATTAAAATTTAGAGTGGATTTTCTGGGACATGTGAAAAATGTTATAATTAACATTTTATTTTTTACTGTGTATGTTAATATTGTGTTTGAAAAAGAGAAGCAGTAAGTCAAGAAAATGTATCGTAAATATAGTTTATTATATTTTTATATCGTTGAAATATCATAAAAACGTAAATTACAAGGTTTCCTAGTATAATTATTTAAAAGCTAATAATATATCATGAGTAAATCTAATATAGCTATTAAAACGTATCATGAGCAAGAGTATGACTAATAATGTATCATGAAGCGTTAGAAGAAAAAATTACTTTGTAATTTTGTAAATTTAAATTTGTATATTTTTTTAAACTAAAAATTATTTAAATATAAGCACTATAAAAATTGCTTATTTATCGAAGATGTGCTATGCTATCTTGTCTCTTTTTGAAAGAAAATTTATCTCTGTATCTATTTAATTTATTATGAGAAAAATAAGCTAACTTGTACAAAAAATCACTAACGATTTTGATATTTTCTAAATTCTTGAACATTTTTCAAACTTATACACTCTCCGCTTTATATGTATTTTTATCGTTCTAGATTCTATTTTATAATAAAATAATTGAATAAGAGACACATGATGCATGATATAAAGAGAGAAAGATGCGAGCAAAGTTCCAACGTGATTCAAAAGGCTGTTGTTACGACTCATTACAGAAAGACTGGGCTTTGTATCGTCGAAAACAAAAGCCTTCGTTGTCGCGTCTGACTAGTACTAATGTTGAACCCCTGCAAAAATTGTCGGAAATAACCGATACATAGAGTAGTGCGTTCCGGTCAAGAATGATGGGTATTTTTTTATGCGTATCTCGTTCCGCGTCCGCTGAATGCGAGCACAGTAATTGTAAAACCAAAGGATGCGTCGCGGTTTTTGCATTTTATGCGATCGTACATGAATCACAACATTGATTCAGACAGACGTCGATATATCGTGTACGAGTTTCGCTGAAAATCGCTCTGAACGAGACTGTAAATCGCATGCTATTTCATTGTAATCGCGTCTTTTATGCAGCTCACGTTATTTTTAAGAAAGCTGGTAGCGTTTTCGCATAAATATAATTTCAGAGAGACATCACGTTTCACAAAGAAACGCGTTTGATATGCTTACAAAAGACGAATGTTAGATATTTCCGATTTTCTAACCGATTCCTTTATTCTGAATTTCAACTAAGGAATACAAATTCTTTTTTCAAATATTATTATAAAGACAAATTGCACGCTCTTAATGTGAATGATTGGCAACATCAGCAAATAATTATTTTAATACGTAAATATGTAATAATTAAAAATAAATAAATTTAAATAAGATGAGAGCTAACAGGAGTAATTGAGATTCAAATTAATTGTTTTTTTTATGAAAATTATTTTTTAATTATCTTTTCAGTTCATTTTTTGGACCATCTTCAGTGAAAAAAATGAAAAAATATATATCCTGTTTCTTGACAATTAAATTATTATTTTTTATTCTCTTTTTTTATGGAATATAATACGTATTATACGTATGTTAACATTTAATAAACTCCTTATTCCTAACCGAATATAATAGTTATTCTTTGATGCATTTATTCTGCACGAATTCGCGAAAATTGAAATTTGCTCGAGGCGATTTCGATCGCCGAATCGAAAACGCTAAAGTTTTTATTGTCTACGTGATCGTGTCATCAATCTTTTTATTATCGGCATCGCCCGTTGACACTTTCCAGCACGATCATGCATCCGAGCGTAATATTACTATCGACGTTGGTGGCCTTCGTCGCTACCGAGAGCATTCTAATGACGGAGGTCTTTGTCATTCCTATCAGACCGGAGATTTTCGACTGGAGTGCAGATGGTAAAAGACATATATTTAAGACTTCTTCTAGCTTCCTTTAGCCATCAAAAGTATCTTACGGTTCTCCAGTATTTTATTAATTAATAGCTTTGTAGACTCTTAAAGAATCTTTGATTCAAATGGAAAAATAATAAAAATAAAAAAGAAAAAAAATATTAAGTTGTATTAGTTTATTTTTTTCTTGGTATAAGTATGTTGTCGTCAATTTTTAAAAAATTCTGAGATTTTAAAATATGAATATTACTTTCTCTTCGAATTTTATAATAATTTTAATAATAATTAAAGATTCTCTCCTCTCTTTAATTTTTCCCTGCAAAGATAATTTTAATTCTTGATTACGTAGTATTTAATTACACGTCTGAATTTTATCTTGATACATTTATCAGAGAGAAACGAAAGATTTTTGCGTCTACCCACATGCATTAATATTATGCAATAAAGATTATTTACAGACAAAAATGCGATCTTGAAAACATTTTCATAGAATAATATTTTTGACAATTCGTATAGAATGATATTTTTTACAGTTTTTCCAACGTACAGTCTTTTATGGGAATTAAAATAAAAAAATATTAAATGTTTGGAGCTTTCCAAAAATGAAGGATATGTAATATCAAGTAATTACAGTTATTCGACGTGGATAATCCATTTCACGTTACGAAATAAACTTCGAGTTTTCATACGTCATTCGTGACATGTTATGAATAGTGATTACTTGCTAGATTGTTGTTGCGTTAACCTTAGAGGCAACATTGTCGCATACCGTGATACTTTCTAATTCAGCGCCTTCAATTTCAGCGATACACGAAACAAGCCATTAAAGTTATCGCGGTTTCGCAAAGATAACGTCATATTTCCTGAATTAAATGAGGCTCTTTTTATATTCGCATGAAAAAAAATCCATTTCTTATTCTCAAACTTAAATCTATTAATCACTTCAAAAGAAGTGGAAGGACCTTAGACAGATTTTAAAGATTCTATATCGCGACGATTTATATTTGGATACTTGAGCAGACATTACTCATGTATTTTTTTTTATTTTGCTATTTTTAGTTATATTTTTTCATCAACGTTAAAGATTGTTGTCATATCACATTAATTTTATTCTACTGTCTTTTAAATATCTTGTATATGATAAATTTTTATTCTAGCTTTTTCTTATCTTTCCTACTTTTATTTTTTATCCATATAGTATAACTTACATAAATATTCATACGATAATTAAAATTCTTTTAAATTCCCTTTTTATTCTTTCCTTATCGTGCTTACATAATTAACCTGACATTTTCCAATGCAAATATATCGAACGTTTATAATCCGTGTCATTTTATTTCAGGACACTCCGATCAATTTTCGTATCAGCCTTCTTTGCGGGACGCCCCCGATCTTCCATCATGGATACATTACACTTATAGTAAGAAGGATCATCACGGTTTTTTGTACGGCGTAGCGCCCAAAGATCAAAAGTACTTTCAGGTGATAAACAATCAGCAGACTATATTATCAGCTACGCGATTGACGATGTTATGTAACTACGACGATAATTACAGCTGGAGATTGTGGGACTGAATAAGCACACCTATGAAACTCGCTACAAGGTGCTCGATATGAACGTACTCGAGAAAGAGAATCTGACAAAGTACGAGGTGCACCTGAAAATCGACAACCTCAACGTGGAGGACATGTTCGATCGCAATCGCACCGAGAAACTCCTCGACATATTTAGGTCTGTCACATTAAGCGACACTCAATTCTCCCCGTTTCAATGTCCTTGATAGCGATAGCGAACGTCATTTATCGTTTCCTTCCTCGAGACGAGACAAGGGAATTTTTTGATAATGACATACGTAATATATATGCGGTAATTCGATAATTACATCGGCGCGATAAACTCGTTCCACTCGTTTTGATTGCAGGAAAAAGTTGTGGAAAGGCGCCGCGGATCTGTACGTAACCTTTTTGGCGTCTGCGATTGAGCTCGGAGCTCGTTTACCTCTGAGACCCAGCGAAGGTGAAGGGTGAGTCACGTTTTCGAGATTATCAAATCCAATTCAACCCTTAAGCCTCTAGATTAGAGTTTGCTGAATCTTAGAATGTGACAAAACTTACAACTATGATTTTCGTTTCTTTCGATCTACAAAATATTTTTAATCATTAATTGTCAAGTAATATTCGCGATCACCAAGTCGTAATAAATATATTAAAGAGTATGATTGAAGAAATAAAAAAAATTAATAAGCTAGTTAGTTTTTCTTTACGATTTCTTTTCCAATCGTTTCACTGAAATAATTAGCTAATTTTCATACAGTTGATGTAAATTAAAATTACAAACAGAATGATATTGTCAGAACGAGATCAAGCAGTTTCTCCGATATCGCTGACGTACTAATCGTCTGATCAACAACTTTGTGACGTGCATCCGCGGCGCACAGTTGTTTTTAAAATAATATTATATTGCTACTTCCTATCTATGTGCGCTATCGTTTATGCACTCGACGGGAGGAAGGTACGTACTCTTATCGGAGGCTGGATATGTTTAATCAAATTGCGGCCGAGAAACTTTGAGAAATGAGAGTCATTAGAAGAGTGAGTCACCACAGTTACACAGTAAAAAATTATGCGTCCATATGTTAAAATTTTCTTGTTTTACCACGTTTTGATTAGTATTTCAATGTAAAATTAACATACAACTGATATGTTATTATTTTCAACGTTTTCATGTGTTACATTTATGTCAACTTTACAACTTAACCCTTTGTATATGTCTCTTAGAAATGGAATATTATTTTGAGTATTTTTAATATAATCATTTTAAACAATCAACATGTCTCAAAGTTAATTCAACAGTTTAAGAAAAATTAAAGTGAATCTATAAATAATCTTGAACTTTGACATATAAAATAATCAAATTTACTAAACTCAAATGTTTCTATTACAAATAATTTAAGTTAAAATAATTACTGTTATATATTAATGTCCTCAACATTTTTTACGAGTTATTGTAACTATTTTTTCATATAATTTTTAATTAATTTGTATATTATTTTTACATTACACTTAAAGTCACAAAAACAAAAAATAAATGTAAAGTATCGTGTCAATTATATAACAGTTAGTTTGTCAATAAGTAACATACGACGAATGAGTTATTTTAAATTCAAATTTAGAGTGGATTTTCTGGGACATGTGAAAAATGTTATAATTAACATTTATAATTAACATTTTATTTTTTTTACTGTGTACTGTCTGTTATTATTTTTTTCATATTTTCGTCCAATATCCCCTATTCGTTACGCACTAAATACATTACAAAGCACTCCATTTTTCAAATAATTACAATTTATTAAATTCATTTTCACGAGAATCGTAAAGCAAAGTCATAGCGTTTCGTTACATCAATGATGTTACATGCAGTACATGTTAATATAAAATTCCAGAGCTCTTCTTTACGTAACAATCAACAGGCTAAAGAATTTTGCGCAAACCATTTTGAATTGTAATTTCAAATTCTTGCTGGTTACATCATCGCGATTAAATCGTGATGATTTATTACGCGTCTTCTTCCACGTTCTATGATCCATTGACAAAAACATTGTTTTTTCAAAGACATTGTGTAAAAATAACCGTAGTTTCCCATAGAATCTGGGACTGAGTGATACTGTTATTCACGCATTTCTCGGGAATAAACTTTGGATTTCAAACCCTGCAGACTTTCCGATTAGGATTGTACTGTGACTCCCCCAAGATTCTGATTCCACGGATCATTGATCACAATTTATCATGGACAATTTATCACGTACATTGATAACGCGATTCGCTTTCATGGCAGTCACATTTTTCGCAGGAAAATGCGTCTTTGAATGATGCGGATTTTCTATAATCGATGATTGTACCGCGTATTATCGATACAGGCAACGATTATTATTTTTTTCTGCGAGATTTATGCGTTATCGAAGAGATATAAAATTGGAAGAAAATAAGGAAAGCTCGTACACGGATAATTCCGACGAATGTAATTTATAAAAAAAAATTAAAACCGCGTTTACATAAGTGTAAAGCACATTTTTTCCCCGTAATAATTTAATAATTTAATTTCGACCGATGTTGCGGAATCTCGAGATTCAAGTTCCGCCCATCTTTACGCTTGTTTACGCGAAATCGCGGAGGAAAATAATTTCGTCGCGTATGCAGAACGAGCGAGACGAGTCGTACGCGGTGTTGATGTTATTGAAACGCGGCGCGGCGTGGGTGGACTTCCTTCCGGTGTAACAACATGTGACATAAAAACAACGTATTTGCGTGTGTCGCATCAAAAGAAATTCAAATCGTTGCGAAATCGTTGCACACGACGGGATAGCCGGGCGAAAAAGAGAAGGAAGATACACACGCATTATATATTCCCGATGTATAGACTCGTGTTTGGATAAACACCTCGGGACAAAGAGTTTTGCAACGAGATATCGATTCATTATGAAGCAGCTGAAATTTATATTTAAGCCGTGACGTGCCTTAAATCCAAAGAGAAAACATCACGATCTTTTACAAAGAAAACAGGAGGCCGATTATTAATATTAATAATGAATACGTTTTAGTGTTTTAATTATCTTTTTCGAGATAACACTTGTTGCTTCCGACGATTCTGATTCATCGCGTGTAACTGAAAATCGAATCATCAATCCTCATGAGAAACGTGCGAGGTAATTTTTTTACAAATAAACCAGGAAATAAATTATTTTCTCTTCTATAACGTTGAATTTAAACATAATTTATATAAGATATTCATATTCAGAATATAACAAATTGTTCCCGGACTATATTTCATCGATATATTCAATAATTAAAAAAAAAACAGGAAAATATAACATTGTGAGAAATGCTTTTTCTCTTTTAATTTTATTCGTGACGCATGGTCTCCTTTTTTGCGCGATGCTCGACATGTCCGGATAAAAACCTTTATTCTCCCTCGTTGAAACGTCTCGTGGAGACTTTACATCTGTAACGCGAATGCATTCCCGACACATCGTGTCTGCTGGCAACGGTAATAAAGTCAAGAATATCCGCTACTACGAATTATCGCTATTATTCCAATAACACGCAATACATGTACACGTCCCATACAGCACAGAATATTGTAGCAATATTATTAATATTGTTGCAACGTTGCAGCAACATTTGCAATATTGCAGCAATATTATTAATATTGCTGTAACATTGCAATATTATTAATATTGTTGTAACATTGCAGCAATATTATTAATATTGTTGTAACATTACAGCAATATTGCAATATTCTGTACTGTATGGAGCTTGACAGATTCGAGCAATCGAAGTTACCTTCTTTCACACCTCGGCGTGACACCCACGTATGTCGCTCACGTGAATCACCAACGTATCACCGGCGCCCTGTACGTCCCATCAATGTCGAAGTGGCGTTTAAGCACGTGTATCACCTCAGATGTGCGATCAAGCGAAAGTTCGAAACCTCGTTACGCCCACGAGTGATGAGATCAATCGATCGATATCGTAAACCCGCGTGCACTTCTTGATTTTGATTTGTTAAAAATAGATTAAAAAAAAATAAGGAACACTTAAGCACTTGTTCGGTGGCCAAGACCAGACTGACCCTTTATCGTCTCTCGGATGAAATTTTGAAGGTGTTACCTTAACCGAGCGAAGACTCGAAATCGCGTTTACGATAGCGAGACGATTAATCTCCCTCGTGATCAAGATAAATCGATTACGCTGATCGATTGCACGCGTCGGTTGTCACTTTTAGACTTATTGCGTCGCGCGAAGTACGATGACACCAACGACAGTGCCAGCGGCAATTATTCCCAACATAAATGCGACATTCTCGTCATGCTCGGGACATTTAGCTGACTGACTGGCGGGGACTTGTTTCCACAAGTGATAAGGCCGCGCCTAAGGAGCCACCTCGTGCACTCGATTCGTATCAGTGCACCATATCAATGCCGCGTATCAGCATAAAAACCGGGAGTAACGATTGCAAGATCGTCGGGATCTCATTGGACGTTGCCTTCGCCGTCCGTTTATCAATGTAAATTTTCGAGTACGAACGTATAATATATTATTGGAAAGTCACGTACTATTTCAAAGTATAATTTCAAGATAAAATGTGAAAATAAATATAAATTTTATTTTTAATTTGAATCTGACTGTGCTACGTTTCCAGTAATTATGAAAAAGAAATTACTTTTTCGATAGAAACAAATGTTATATATAAAATGCTTAGCAAACAGGTATTAATCTTTTTTATATATTAATTGATTAGGTGAACCTTATACATGATGGATTAATATTCGCGTAAAATCAACTAAATATTCGCAATAAAGCCTCGAGGGCTGTTATTTGACATTATTTGCGAGATATATTAATTTTAAATTGTTATTTGCACGCAAGAAAGCTCAATATTATGAAATATTAATTATATTATCGTCTATCACAATTAGCAGAATATATTCAGCAAAATTTAGATTTATTCAATAACAATTAAAAAAGATGAGAATAAAATCATTAAAATATGATTAGCCATAATTTTTCTCGGGTAAGCAAGATCGGGATAGATATTTGGAACAAAATATTTCTGGCGAGAAAGCGACGATTAATAATAATTTTCTTGGAATACAATATTAATTTATATCGACAGCGTTAATAATTTACAAGGAGCAATTGTTCGCGTGCGCTCACTGCATTTAATTGTTAATGCATGCTACGGGCAAAAGTCCCACGCGTGCTACTTAAAAGAATCCTTGACGGGAATGACGCAAATACGTACTGTGTAGAGCGAATATCGTAATATGATTCGTCTGATTGTTTGAGAGTCAAAGTTTGTTCGTAATAAAACGAGCGATAGCTCTTTGATGCCTGTGAATTTTGGCTTGATCGATGCTCGATGTTTTTCACATTATTACACCTCCTAATAGTCCTTCCTTGTAATCCTTGTCGTCCTAACCATACGAAGGACAGAATAAAATATAGCTTTCTTGTTTCAGAGTCGTCGTGAGATTGGGCAGCACGATACCGTTCTCGCAAGAATTGAACGAATTGCAGGAGGAAGTGAAGCCACTTTGGAAAATGCCATCGTGTCCCAGAGACTTCAAGAGAACCAGCGTGGAAATTCTCTTCCGAGAGGCTGAATTCAGATTGGATTGGTGCTCCTTCAGATTAGTAAGTTAATTGATCAAACTGCGCTACAATATTTTCTCATTTGTTATGTCACGTTATAATAAACCAGAGAAGAGTGTCTCTTCATCAGTGAAGACCTAAAGAATCTGAAGACTCCGCCTGTTACATAATTTGCTCACTTGTATTATTTGCCTTCCAAAAAATTATGCACTCATGACACAATATGTTATCATATATCAGTGTACACGCATTTGATATATCTATCTTCTCAGGCGAACTCGGCACGTCTCCAAATACATCGACGATGACAATGCAGCTTTTACTTTATCGTCATCTATCGTCATTGTGTATTTTTCAAGTTATTTTTTCAATCATCGCGCCAACATCCTTAACTTGCGCAAATGCTGATTCCGCAGACTCATCGTAATCGATTGATTCCCATCTGACATCTGATGATCTCGCGCAAGATATCGCAATCCGCATCCGAAAATCGCGCACAGCCTCCAACATTTTATGATATTTTCTTCACTATTCGTGATGGTTGAGACGATAGTTACTTTCTCTAGCTAGAGGAGGACCAGCAGAGTCTGCAACACGAGAGCGCTCGGCGAGGTCCTAGCGTCGTAGGACTCCCTTCGTCAGGAATCTCGGAGCACACGGAATGGCGTTGGGCTCGTTCGACGAAAGCCAGCGTACCCACGAGGAGCTACTTCAAGGAAATCGTCATCACAATTTTCATACCGGTCATCCTGTTCCTCGTGTTAGGCGCCTTGCTCAGCACCGCCTTCTGTCTGCATCACGAGAAAATGTAAGCGTTTGTTCATCACATCTTGTCGGAGGCGAACCAGTCGGAGCTACTTTAACGCGATGGCCATCTGCATTCCGGAAAAGTTATTTTTAATTCGCACATTCCTATATCTTTTATGAAAACCAACACGCTTACGTATTTTATGCCTCTCTTTTTCTTTTCGTTTAATGTAGATTTCGTCATTTTATATTTCATATTCAGTGTTTTACTTCCGCTTCTCTTTGATCGTATCCAGTCAATTTTAACGCTCTGACGTCATACGTATCTCTCTCAAGGGTATCTTTATTTCTTATCTGTAGTTGCGATGGATAATTACTAACATAACATTATTTCCTGTTTAGCATTTATATTGAGCGTAAATTAAGATTACATCTGAGTACTTCGTAATTTGAGGAAATGCATGCATAACCTGCTGAAACAATCATGTTGCAGCAGGATAAACATTGAAGAATTTTAATTTGATTGCGTTTACAAAAACTATTGTTTGGGTGTCTTCACAGAAAAAAGGATATTCTTGTTTTATTTAAGGAAAAATAATATTAATTAAGGAAAAATATAATTGCTTGAATAATTGCTTAAATAAAGCCATTTTATATAATTCAATCAAAAAATATATTCTTATGAATTAAGATTTAATTTTCTTGAATGGAAAAGAAACAATGTTAGATAGAAAATAACATGTTTAAATCAAAGATTATAATTTTCTTAAAGTAGAATTAAATAATTATATAATTATATAATTATATAATTACAGTATATATTCTTGAGATGACAATTACAATATTAAAATAAGACTATAATATTGTTGAAATTTAAAATTATTAAATTCTTCTAAGAAGATTATAAATTGTTGCGTATATACGAATCAATGAACGCGTTAGTTTAATAAGTTTATATAAGTTATGATTTGACACTTATTTTTTTCTGTGTGCGATATATATTAATTCCGATAAAATCTCAATACTTAATGAAACTCATTTAATGACAGTAGAAAGTAGGAAGCTGTTGCGTCTTTATTATTATTATATGTGTCATTTCATTCATAAGTAGAAGTAATCTGATATGTCTATCGGCACGATCGAAACGCTTAAAATTATGAATGCTCGATAAATAAATTTAAAAAATATGCGTGCTGCATTTGCTGTGCATGACGCATCATGAAAACGAAGAATACACAAGTCAGAGTCTGACTAGACAGGTAGAAATAGCGTAAAACGTTAATTTTTAAATCGTCAGCGAAAAGTTTTAACGAGTCCAAAGATCATATAAAGTAAATGTATCCCGATAAATAATTTTATGATAATAATAAAGCAAATAAATAAATCATAAATTAGGTATAATAAAGAATTATATAATAATTATATGTATACATAGTTATTATATACGCAAAAACAGATGATTCATTTATAAATATTAAATGGATGATACATACTTATAAATATAAATCTAATTAACGATAAAATAAAAAAACACGGGAATCGTAGTTCTCCTTGATTTGCAGAATATCGCGAAGAAATCGCCAGATGAAACATACCTGTTGCATGTCACATTGGCAAAAAAAAAAAAAAAAGAAAAGAATAAGGCCGTCCAGATATGAATGACATTCGCGAAAAGGAACGGAAAGAGGAGTAAATAAAAAATTTACGCGAATATAAAATTGATTTCGATATATGCAGACGGAAGCTTTTGTGACGTGTATAATTACATCGGTCATTATATAATACACATGTATGAGATGCAAAAATGATTGTTATACGATTATATACAGGTTTCGCATACAAAGTGGTCGACTATTATCGGAAAATATTTTAAACGAAAATTTAAAGTTAGATAAATATTATATGAGACAAAAACAAAAATAATTTGGACGATTTTTAATGTTTAATCGTTAGAAATTTTAATACTTGAAATAGAGACACTCAATCAAAGTTTTCGCCGAAAAAATGGTGCAATTTTTTATTTAGAGACAAAATTTGCACGCATGATATTTTTCAGCACTTTTTTACATACACGTATATGAAAAGATTAGGAGCTATTTATTTTGCCATATATATTATCACGTTCCAGTTTTCTCTATTTGCAGCTCAAGGCAAATAAAAACCGGCATTCAGGGTCGGCTAATTTGCGAGTAATGAGTCGCGACAAAGAGGCGAACAATGTGTCTTTCTAGAGGCGGTAAAAAGATTAAAATTACATAGTATATATATTGGGATGCAATGTGTATAGCTCATTTATGCGATATAAATAACCGGTTGCGAGCGACTATAGATATGGATAGGAGATTCTTGTATATAATACCATGTGATATAATACCGATTTAAACATGATCTTATTATGAACGTATTTGCGTGCGTCATGTTTGTGGCGCGTATAAATACGTTTTTTTAACTGGTAAAAGAAAACACGACTATTTTAGTTCGTCGAGCGTCAAACCTGTTTGGGTTCCGATCATTAACGGCAATTAAATTGATAACGTCGTAAAAGGTGACATTCTTGCTTATAATATTTTCGATTTGAAATTTTCTTTCTTATGCACGCCTTTTTTTCTTAATTGCCACCTCCATTATTTCACAGTAGCCTATTATAAATTAAAATCGAAATAGCTGTCTAACTGCAATATTTTCAAATATATATTCTCGAGAATGCAGTGATCATTTTTATCGGCGTTTTGTTTAATAATTATCTCAATTAGCTGTAATACTCAATTACCAGTAATATCAATAATGGTCTGTGATGAGGAATAGAAAATAAGAACTGAGAAGAGAAAGAATCAAAGGAAAATAGAAAGAACGAAAAAATAATAGAAAAAGAAAAAGGAGTCGCAAATTTTACATTAATTTTTTGACGACGATACGACATGTATATATCATAATATTGCTAGTGTCTAGCCGGATTCTTCATGATATCTGATGTTATGTATTTAAAAAAAGGCGCAATACCTTTCTTTTCAAATGGCCATGTCTAGTCACGACGATGACAGCGCGAAATCGTAACAGCTGATCTCTCTCTCTTTTTCTCTCTCTCTCTTTCTCTCTTTCTCTCTCCCTTTCTCTCACTATGCTACCTATCATTCGCACACTTGGTCTCTTTCACACCGCGCGTGTACACACATATGTTAACTAACTAATGCGTGGCATGTACGCATGCATACGTGCATGCGTGCTTGCTTGCGTACATATGTACGACGAACGGGTAAGTGACCGCGAGTGATCGGTGCCTCGCGATCAACGGTCAGATGTTGTGTGTGACGCGATCGAAATCGATGTGACGCAACGGAATCGCTTATCGGTAAGCGCGGAAATAGAACGACGTGTCGCCGATCGACGCCGATTTCCGCCGATCGGCGACCGCGCACCGCGTGCTAATTTTACTCCCGCGTGTAAACACCGCCTGCCTTTTGTATTCTCGCTTCTGCTTCTGGATTTTGTCATTCTATAATCGCGATCAATGCGTCGATCCAATCAACGTGTTAAAAAGAAACGCTGTTATTTTGCAAAATGCGTGTTATGGAAAAATGAATTCCATTGAATATTATTTTTCATTGGGCAAATGATTTCAAGTAATCATTAATGTAGCTTCCGACTTAAAAAAGAAGTCTTGTTAAAGTCTTATTCCAATTACACAGTAAAAAATAAAATGTTAATTATAACATTTTTCACATGTCCCAGAAAGTCCACTCTAAATTTTAAATTAAAATAACTTACTCGTCGTATGTTAATTATTGACAAACTAAAAATGTTAAATAATTGACACAATACTTTACATTTATTTTTGTTATTGTGACTTTAAGTGTAATGTAAAAATAACATACAAATTAATTAGAATTATATGAAAAAATAGTTACAATAACTCGTAAGAAATGTTGAAGACATTAACATATAATAGTAATTATTTTAACTTAAATTATGTGTAATAGAAACATTTGATTTTAGTAAATTTGGTTATTTTTGCAAGTCAAAGTTCAAGATTATTTGTAGATTCACTTTAACTTTTCTTAGAATGTTAAACTGAGACTTTGAGACATATTGTTTAAAATGATTATGTTAAAAATACTCAAAATAATATTCCATTTCTAAGAAACATAAAGATAAAAAAGAAAAAAGAAAACTATAAAGATTAACAATGCAGTAATTGGAATATTATTCTTAAGACTTTAATTATTATTTTTAAGAAAATCCATATTATTTTACAAACGTTATTATACTATTATGAATTAGACCGAAACCGTTTGTAAAATAATTGATTTTCTTAAAAATAATAATTAAAATCTCAAGAATAGCGCTCCAATTAATGCGTTGATTCTTATAATGGTTTGATTCTTATAACTTTCTTTTTTATCTATTTGAGTAAAAATTTGTTTAGAAGACAAACAGCGGGAAAGATAAAAGAATATTTATGACCAAATTTGACTATATTACTTGATATATATGTTTATAAACACATAAAACAAGAAGTTAAAAGATATTTGAAAGATGTTTTAGATGTTTTAGATGTGTATTGTGTGAGGATACATCACTTTAACGTATTAGTAGAAAAATTATTTTTATTTTTGATAGCATACATAAGTGTTTTATTTTTTCAAATAATATGTACAAGTTCACAAAATGATGTAACGCTATATCAGCTATACGCTTCAATTACTGGTCATAGCCGTCATAAGCCGTCTACCACTAAAAGGCGTGAACTGACCGGAAATAATGTTTACAACGACTATAAAAGCCACTTTACAAAGTTATCATGTAAGTGCCATCATGAAACTATAAATTTTTCTGGACGCTGATGAGAATTAAATTATTTTTTTCTTATTTTTGTGGCTGTATGAGATGTATTTACGTAAATTATTATAAGACAGTATCATTTGATTCGTCTGAAATCATGCTACAAAATTATTAAATATATTATCAAATCAATTGTTTCTAATATTATGGCTTATAATTTTCAAATGGTTAATTAAAATTCAAATGTATTATGAATAATTTAATACATTAATAAGTTTTTTTGCAAACATCTTTTTTTATTATTTTTTTTATTATTTTATCAGCGAAATGCTTTGCACGCAATAATATAATATACGTAATGTGTGTACAATATACGTAACTTTCAATAACATTGATTAAATTAGGCATTCTGCGTCAAGGAATATCAGTATTTATTGTAAATATTTATCAAAAACTTTTCGAATCTTACAATGATAATGTATATTCGAGAATGATACGCGAAATCATCTAATCTAATCGTTTAATGTCAATATTTTTCATAATGCGAATTAAAACTCTTGAGCAATTTATAAACAACATCAATGTACGCGAGGTACGTCAAGAAAATAATTATGAATTTATTTTGCTCATCACAAGTATATCTGTTATTAAACGTAATATTTATCAAATGTTTGGTAAAATAAATTATCAATGATAATACAACATTTCTATAGAATTATTTTTATACAATTTATATATTTTTATAAATAATTTTCGTTCAGAATAATTTATATATAATTTTTTTATATAATTTTATATATATGTTTTATATATAATTTTTTTTATATTTTTTATATAATTTTATATATAATTTTATATTTATATATATAATTAATTAATTTTATATATAATTTTATATATTTATTTTATATTTTATATGTATAAATTTTATATATAATTTATATTATAAAACATATTTTAGTGACTTTACATTATGCCAATTCTATGTTTAATCTATAGTAATAAAGATCCCGCGATAGTGGCCTTTCTCCTATCGAAATCATGCATCGTCGCTGAAAATTCCAACTCGAATTCAATTCCGTGGCCATAAATGGAGATGCGCGATTAAGTGGAATACAGCGGAATTTTAATCGGGTCGGGCGCGTTTGCAAAAGAGGAGACGACCCTGTCCACAAAGCGCACTCGCACGTCGCACGCTCGAGTGCGTGTCTTCAAGTACATATGTGGGGCGTAACAATTTTCATTGGCGCGTCGCGATAATAAGTCAATTACGTCGTGTTACACGTGACGACGATTGACGCAACACTGACGTAGTCGTGTTCATTTCGCACGAGGAAGGGAAGGGAAGGGGGAGAGGAAGGGGAAAGAAATCGGGATTCATTGAAGTTACAATCGAGGAGAGAGCGTGCGCGTTTATTTTCACGTTCCGGGTTCGTGTCCAGCGATCGCTGCTCGTGTTCTCCCCCAAGGGCCTCCGACGAACCGTGTCGTGATCCACGCGAGCGCGATCAAGGTAATCACGCGGTTGATAATACGAGCGCTGTGCAAACAGGAACAGGACTCACGCGCGTCATAGACGCGATATGACTCATAAAAAATTTCTGGCGGTTGCGGCAGCCCGCAAAAAAAAAGAATCCACTTTTCTTTCGGATGGAAACGTAAAAGTTTGTCGCGCAACGGAAGGTCTTTCTCATAATTAGGCGACAAATGGGTTTTACCCCTCTTCCAGCTGTTCGTTTAATCATGTTCTATCGATTTTCTTCCTATTTTATAATATAACATATGAACGTCAAGTTGCGATGAGAATTTAATTAAATGATACATATCTTCTATGTATTCTTCCTGTTTGAAATTCCAGGGATCCTTAGCACATTCCCAAAATTTCATTATATTACATTGATAATATGTTAATATTACATTAATATTATATAAATATTAATTATTACACAATATATTAATATTATATTAATATTATATAAATTTTAATTATTATAATATGTTAATATTATATTAATATTATATACATTTTATTTAATTTTTAATTATTAATATTATACAAACATTGAGGAAAATTTTGAAGCAACTTTTTGAATTAAAATGACATTTTATTGTAATATTTTCTCACCGTCGATGAGAATGATTGGAATATTACATAGCCGATTAAATGTCTAGATAATTTACTGCGAGATTGGTAATTTAATGTTATTTTAATAGCAAATGAACGTCAGATATAGATGTTATTTATAAAAACCTGTTTAAAGACTTGTTTAAATTTTTCCATTTAAATATCTAAATATCTGTAATTTTTTCTTCATCTTTTTACTACACTTGTGTATGTTTTTGTCTTCGAAGTTTGCAAGCGAGATTATTCTGACGTAAATGATAATTAAAATGTTGGTCATTAAAAAAGAATAATATACTATTATCTAGTTATAAGAGTCATGTTTTGTAAGAATATTTATATAGTTTATATTACGTAATCTAGGTTATTATAATTTATGATTGACGCAAATGTTAATGTTAAATCACTCGGGTGTTTGCATCTAGCATTAGTCAGTTATTATTTTTAAAAATATTCGACGAAAAAACGTAGATATTTATATCTTATTTTCTTAGGACAGATCCAGGGTCAGATGAATATTTTGACGAACTCTTTAATATTTTTCTTATAAAGGAACAACCTGTTAGGTATGTTTACAATTGAGTAAATAATTTATTTGAGATTTTTACTGGATACTAATTGTTGCAACATCACTAAAAACACTATTAATTTTGTTTGGTGAGTGTGAATCATAGTATGACAAATTGATAAAAAATTAATTGATTTTATCATTTTAATTAGTTTAAATGAATATATTTATTTCTGATTAATTTCCTCATATATTAAGCTTTTTTAATTTATCGTCTCTTTCTCTTTCTCTGCATGTTTATCATATAACAAACTATCATTTAAATTTAATGATATTGGAATTTACGAGCTTCTTTTAAAAGTTGTTTTGAAGATTAATAATATTTTTGTAATGTGTTATATATGACGATAAAAAATTATAGCTGATCAATAAGTTTTCGATCAAGATTGAATTTTAATTTTATTCATAAATTCCTAATGGTATTTTTATCGCATCAAATAAACGCGAATAATAAATTCAAATTGTGAAATATTGTATCAAGTATTGGCCTTCTGAATTTAAATAAAATCCTGTTTTAATAAAGCTATATACTTATTTTTGCAGCGAAAAACGAGAAGCTACACCAGTAGAAGGAATTGGAAATAACGGAATACAAATGGTACAATATGCCATGTCGGAAAGAGGCACTTTGAAATCTCTGTCAGCTCAACCATCGAGTCCGAATGATTCTCTGTCGCGAAGTCCAAGGTAGAAATTTAGATCGCAGATTAAAAAATATAATTTCGACAAATTTAAATTAATTTTCGACATTGTAAAAAGAATTATTTTACATGAATTATCATATTTTCTATCAGTAATAAATTAAATATAAAGCTCGCCATCATGTACATTCTTGCAATGAAATTCAAAGTTATGCAAATTATATCGCTTTTAATCTCTGGAAATCTGATGGTCGTAAATAATCGATAATCAATTTATGATGATGATTTATATCCTATTCTTTTTGCACCAGAATTTCTCTCTTCGGAGAATAGATTCAGTTTTTAGATAACGTGTAAAAAAAAGTCAAATTATCGTGTTGTTGCGATTAGCAATTTCTAGCTTAGCAGGACATCATTTCCTAAGAAAAGAAACAATGCGCGTGCATAATTCGCAGACAAGTCATTAATCAAACGTACGAGTACACGTGCTATAGTAATATATAACGTTGTAATTATTTCCAGTAAAAGAAAAAATAAAAAATAAATCAACGACATTCGCATAAAGAATGAATCTCTTTATTCTTTACAAATATAAAGAATGAATCTCTTTAGTCTTTATAAATACTCTTTACTAAATTAAACGCAAATATATTACGCAAAAACCAAATACGTTAAAAAAATTATATATCGCACGAATAAAAAAAAAACAATGTTTCGGATAATTTAAGTCATAAAAAAAATACAAATTTTTTTTTGAAAAGTCATTTAAAAAGAATGTTAAAAATGTTTTAAAGATATCAATAGATCGTCTCTATTTTGTTTTTTATACACTAGTTGGCGGTTTAAATCTTACCTGAATGCACGTGATTATAATAAATGTCATTTTTCAGAATCTCCGGCGAACGTTGCAATCCATACATTCGCCCAAATCCGCCCCCTTACACCGGGCCGACTAATTTGTAAGTGCAATATTTCTGAATCGCGATTTTTGCGTGTGCAATATACCGTGTACCTAATTCACTTATGATTCACAGTACCAGCTTACGCGCCGATTTCTGACTATACGAGCAACCCGCGAAAACGTGGTTTTGCTAAACGAATATAACTCGCGGGTGGCTTTCAATCAGCACGTTTCGAGGCCAAGGACTACTAACTCATCGAAACCGACTTGAAATTTGCAAGTTCAATCAGACATTAAATATGCGCGCGTCGCTTATTATTGCTAACTATAAGCAGGCATTTGCGTCATTTGTTTTGACAAATTAATTTGCGCCTGGAAAATTTCTCGAAACATGTCTCAACGAGACGAATCTGTAGTAGACGAGTTGCAAATATATAGAGAAGAGTTTTTTTAATAATATATTGTACATTATATACATACTAGTCGCATTATATAACAATCAAATAAATTGCATAACATTTAATGTGATTATGTATCTTATAATCGTAATGCACATTATAATGTATCTTATAAATGTAACATAACGAATTTTTGCATATTCAAGTATATTGAAGAAATAAATCTACAGTTCTAAAGATGTGCTTTTTGATTTTAGTTATCACATTAAGAATAAGCATTTAAATTTGGATTAATTATTTCACTTCATTATTTCACAGAATCTGTTGTCTAATTTGTACGAATTATTTATGAATAATTTTTGTTTTTTTACCCACTCTATTACTTAGGAAAAAAGAAGCATATTTTTCTATGAAATAATTTTAGTTTTCGAAATATATATATATATATATATATATATATATTTATTATATTTATTATAATTTTTAATACATACATACATACATATATATATATATATATATATATATATATATGTATATATATGTGTGTGTGTATGTATTAAAAATTATTCTACAAAATTATTTATCTGTCAAACTGGCGACTGAAACTATATTTTAATGTAACATACCTGAATTAACTATAATATTGTGAACAAGATGAATTTTCCATCGACCGTTATGTCTGGAGAAGCCGAATTGCTTGTACTGCATCTGCAACGGAATAAAAGTTTGAAATGAGGGGGAAAAGTTTGACAAGAGATGCAACAAATAAATAACCTTTCTACCAAATTTATAGCGTCTTATAGCGATTAATTCACCTTTTCGCTTTCAGTAGAAACGGAAAATTGCCCAAAAAATACATGCGCGCGCGCGTACGCAAAAGATTCAATCTTTGAATCTCCTCGAAGCAGCACTGAAGCGCCCGGCGTGCGTTGTTTACGTACCTAACTAACCAGTCCAACTTAACCTAGCCTAACTTCACGGCGCTCAGCGCGCACGCGCCGCGCGCACCCACGCTTGCCAGCTGTTCAACAGGAGCGTTCGACGAGGCGCAGAACGAGCGGGCGTGTTTGTGTTTTGCGTTTCGCGATCGTGACAGCGTTTGGAGCGCGAAACAGCGGACGTGCAACATTCGTCGCGAGCGAGAATCGAGAGGGCAGATCTCGCGACAATCGCGAATTGTTTCGACTGATACAAGTATGGCTGGTATCGTACCGCTGTCTGGCAGATCCGGCAGGAAACAGTGGACGCTGCACGGTAATCATCTCCTGCGATCTCGATTGAGCTTTGAGAGCATGCACCTGGTATTCGGATTGCGTCTTTGAAAAGCGCACATCATCTGTCACAGGAATGATGTGTTTTAAAATTTATTTTGCAAATAAACATATAAATAAATAAATAAATGAATATTAAATTGTTAAATAGAAATTGATGAGAAATATTATTAATATTAAAGTATTACTAATTAATTCTTGACGAACAATATCCTTATGAAATTTAATAAATAAAAAAATTTATCTTGTGTCTTTTCTTCTAATAATATATTCAAATTAATGTTTTGCTAAATAATGTTTTACAAATTACTGATACGATAATTATTATGCATCTGAATAAAACTTTGAAAATAATCACAATCAATATCATTTGCAGTAACATAAAACTGTAAGTTTATTGTTAATGTTTCATGTGTATGTAATAAGATAATGAATTGTGATTAAATAATTTGCTAATTGTAAATTATATTGACAGATGGACCTAAAGGTTCCCTCAGACGGTTACGTTCTCGATTAGCAGAAGATGGCTGTCCAGAATCTCAAGTGATTTTGGCTAAGCAATTACTGGAAGAACGATGCGGTAAGCTGTAAAACTCTGTATTAAAATTTTTTCGTATATATTTGCTATCTATATAATATTATGTTAAAATATATATTTGAAGATCTTGATGTTGATAAAGAAGAAAATGCAAAGTTGGGTGTTTATTGGTTGACAAAAGCCTCGGAGCAAGGAAATCTAGAAGCAACTGATATACTTAGAAAGTGCTTAGCCACAGGTCGTGGTATTACAGAACATAATTATTACGATGTGAAAAGTTGTCTGGACATGACACAAGATGAAAAGTTGGCTAGAAGAGCAGCGAGGGAGATGTTTATGAGGTAAAGAATAAGGATAATCGGATGATGGATAAATAAAATTAGATCATACACTATATATATTCAATGTGAAATTTCTCTCTCCAATCAGTTTATCAAATGGCGAGGACTTTATCACCACAGAACAACTGCAAAGACGTATGAGAAATTTGTCATCTTCGTCGACTAGTAACCAAGATTCTCTTCATGATGATTCTCAATCAAATATTACTTCTAACAACTTGTCGCAGAAGAGACTAAATGACGACGATAACGATTGCTTCCCCAGAAACGGGCTTCCTGATGATTCTTCTACTTCGAAAGACGAAGATCGTGCAAACGATATTCAAAGTAAGAAAGTTTTTTTTAAAAATTTTTATGCTACATCGTGTATCTTTCACATTCACATACATTTTTTTGTTACATAATCGCAGATCGAGTGGACTATCAAGGTGAGAAGATCACAGAGGCTGCTCTGGTGTCTGCGGCTGCGAGTTACGCACGCGGAATGCTTCCAATAGTATCACACGCTCTCTGCATGGTGGATCCTTCCGAACTGGTGCTGGATACAATACCGTTGCTGCAGAGACCATTCGTTCATCCGCTCACATCGCTGAAGCGTTTCTACAGTTGGCTGATCGAGACTCTGGGTCACAGAGGGACGTCGATCAAAAACATCCTCTTTACATCGAACTTACACATTTTCTTATTATTTTTACTGTATTCTTTATTCGGTACAGAGAGCCTAATACTTTTTATACCGATGGCCCTCTACTATCTATCATTCATAGTCATGGTAGTGGCCACATTTCAAATGCTCCAACGGAAACGCGAGTTCAACGACTTTCGCGTGTGGTCCGGCCTGTTTTTGAGTTATTCGGGCGGAAATCTGAATCCCGAGGAGGCAGAGTATCAATTTTGCCGTAACAATCTGAAACCCCACGGACACTTTTTTCTCGCGTTATTGCTAAACTTGATAATTTATCCTCTGATAGCTCACCAATGGACTCCGCAATCCGAATTCACCGTAATAGCAGTCGCGCTGACTCTCATCACACTCTCCAATTTCATGTGGAAGGACTCTTCGCGGTTTCCCGACTTCTTAGCTCTGTTCAGTTTCGGCGTACACGTCCTCGCGAAGTACCCTTACGAAATGGACATGGTTGTCGCGCAAGGTTGGAGATTCTTGGACGTCAGAGTGCCAACATTCGCGTCTTACGTTGTCGGCAACGGCATAGAGTTCTGTCTCAACTTCCGCGCTGTGTTTTATCTTTTAATACCGGCGGTCTTCGCGAAAATGGCTGCGAGGGATGGTTGGCGTGGCACATATCGAACTCTGATACCCCATTGCGTTACTCTGAGCTGGTGGCAAATAGCAATCTTCAGTTCTCAAGGCGCCACATGGTACGGCTTGATCAGAGGTGCCCTCGCACTAGTCGGCATGGTCCTCTTTCTTCCAATAGCCGGTATAGCTTCCGTCATTTTACCGATCATAGCCATTACAAAGTATTTGTCGGAAAATGACCTGGCAATGAGAATAGCAGTCACCACTGTACTCGGAGGAATGCCATTTTTAGCTTCGTGGTATCTGAGGAAGACGAGAGCATCAAGATTTAATTGGATCATTACGTTCGTTCAAGTATGTATATCCTTGTATTTCTTGATCATCTTAAACTCCGAAATTTTTAAATATTTATATTTTGTATTAAATATCTTTTGTAGATCATACTAGGCGTTGGCGCTGCCACATTTTTATCCTGGCCTATGATAATGGAATATAAACAGGATTCCGATGAAATATCGTACGAAATCGCTTCTAGTTTAACATGGGATCAATATCGGAACTACTGTCATCAACCTGCATGGGAAGAACTGTCGTCGAAAGCGCAAGTGCAAGTGCAATGCGCCCAGTTAGAAGGCATACCCGTTTCATGGGAAGGTTACGTGACAAATGTTAAATTAAAATCGATAAAGAACAATATCGCAGCCATATTAAATAGATTACCTGATAATGTTAGATCGATAGTCAGCTGTATGTACGGGGAACCATACGAGGAAAAGTGTAATTCGGGCGACGATACTCGTAAAAAGAATTGCAAACACGTCACGAGTATTCAGAGGCGAAGAAGTAAATGCCACTTACCAGCTTGGGATCGGTACGAATTTGAAATTTCCGTCAAAATGAAAAACGGCATATGGGGAAGTACAACGGAAATACGTCTTGTCGCGGATCATTCTTTTACCAACTTTAGTTTAAACATATATCCGGGCGACAAGATCTGGTTTTCCGGTGTACTTCTAAATGATGGTTTAGAAAAAGAATCTCTTCTCGGTGGTGCCGAACCGCACATCGACCTAGAAGAGGCAGGGTGTCTCGCGTGCAACTCCCTTGATCTGGAAACATCTTACAAACGTTATAGGTACCGTGTAAATTTAAGCTCTATTATCAGAGATCTATGTCTCAGTGTAAAGACTGTATTGAATTTTCTGTTAAATCCAATTGTGATGTTCAAGTAATCACGTTTTACGTGATTGAATTCTTTTAGATCTCTCTAACTTCTTATATTTAATGTCTGTACTATATTTCGATAAATGTAATTATCACTATTATTTGTTTAATACTATTTATCTTAAAAATAAATTATACTATTGGAATTTCTAAATTGTGAAAGTAAGAATTTAAACAATTGGAGACAAGAAATCGATTCATATATAATTAATATACTAAGAAAATATAACTTTATAAAATACAAATATGCAAGTGAAAAGTAATACAATTGTCTTGAAAAGACATTTAGTAAATCTTTCAGTATATTTAATCTTTGTTTAGGCAGGCAATTTAACACGAATAATCTTTTTTTCTAACAGATTATTTAGAAGCGCGTATTATATAATAGCGCTAAAATATAAAAGTATTACATCTGACACGTTATATATGTATAAAGTACAAGTTAAATTGAAAGAAGAATTACGTTAGATATGTAAGCAGCATTTCTTCAATGTATGACACACGTGTACATGTGTGTGTGATATGAAAGTAGAGAATAGTCTAAGTGTCTTGATGTTACCGAATGCCTCAGGCAACATACATTAGGCTTTCACGAACAAATCTGCTTCAGAATATTAACATATATTTTAAGATCGATATATTTTCCTAAGCATTACTGCCAATAAAGAAAGAGAAAGAAAGATAAACGCTTCATATTTTTATATTCCGTTTTTGGACAATGATCAGAACTGACATTTTAATCTTGTTTTAATAATGTAATAAAAATTGCATTTTTACTAGGTTTATAACATATAATTATCATGATAGAGTTTTAGTTGATATGATGAACCAGTGGGCAATATGCAAACTAACACAAATAATTTTAGATTATATTTAATAATTTATAGTTATAAAAAAATAAAGGAAAAAATATGATATTCATATAGAATTTTGTGTATATATATATATATATATAATATCGATATTATAAATTATCTAATTGAACTACTTAAAAATTCAATATTACCTGAATGATACTTTCAAGGAACACTAAAAATATATGTACAATACAAATAACAATTTACTTTGTACATTGATGTTAAATGTTTAGATAATTATTAACAAGCATATCTGTCTAGTAGAATTAAGAATAGCTTCATCATTATATCACATAAAGACAATAGGAACCAAGATAGTAGAAAAGAGGTAAGACAGATATAGATGTGCCTTGGTGTTTTCTGTTTGAATAATTTTATCGTTAATAATAAAAGTATATATATCTATTTGCTTCCTCAAAGCAAATTGATTAAATGTATTGAAACACCATGAACTCTTGCATTCTAATGTGCAAATGTATATTTTTGTCATAAACAATATATTAATATAATGCAAAATTCAAAATATTGTCTTATTTCAATACCTTATATATATGCGTGCGCACACATCCACATAGACACACATACACATACATATCTATTATGAAAATGCAGAGACTTTTTTATTTATAATTATAGAGATATTTATTTTATATTTGGCAACAGATCATGATACATTATTGTTTTGAATGATAACATTATATCAATAACAAGACAATTGTTATTAAACGGTTTGGTTCCCTTTTTCTTAATTTCCATATAAAAGAATTTTACAATACAGAGTTTATACTATTTTTATACTATTTAATTATTTTATATATTGAAATACATTAAAGAATCTCCTTCATGCCGCACTTTCTTCATATTGTACTTTTATACAATGTTAGATTTATTCTGACATTGCATAATTCGTATAATTTGACTAACAGTCTGTTTAGAGTTGTAGATATATAATCTGCAAATACTCTCTACACAAACTTCATGCAATGTAGGAGCTTCAAGTATAGTATTTTTTCTTTATGTACAGATATAAAATCTATATTAATAAAGTCTTTTTTACTATATCTAATCTGCAAATAATTATCTAATAAAAAGAAAAAAAAAGAAAAAAAAAGGAAGAGATCAAACAAAATTACTTTGTTGTTTCCTTGAAGAAACATTCCCTTTATTTGTGATGTATTTTTTTAAATATTTTATATTTCCTTAAATATTTTGTAAATTACTGAATTAATAATCATTGAATGTATTGAAATCAACTTACATTCCAACTTTTAGATAGTTGGAAAGTTTTTTTTGGGGAAAAATATTACGTTAAAAATTTTAAACATTTAGAACTTGAAATTAATATGTATATACTTTTTCAAGATTTTTCAATATAGTCAACAATATACATATATGATACATTCAAGTTAATTATTATCTTTTTCCATCCAATGTATTTTTTTTTTTTTCAAGTCAAATATATAAGAAACTCTTGTCAAATTCCTTGTGGCATATCGTGAAAAATATCAACTTTGGTTTATAAGAATTATAATAAATACATATTTTTAGGTAATAAAATTAAATAAATGTACATTAAAAACCAATTAATAACAATTAATTGACAATTAATCTACAAATTCTGGAACATTCTATGCTTGAATTATTAGAATACTTGCATACGTACATTTCTCCTTTATCCCGAAAATTTTCCTTTTTGTAGTAAAGATGTAGTAATAAATAGATGTAATAACAAATTTATACTAATTTTTGAAAAAAAAGAGAAAAGAAGACAATCTTATGAGCATGTTATAATCTATATATTTTATATATACAAAGAATTCCGGATAAAAGAGAAATTGGTAAATTGCGACGGTCAAGACATACACACCATTTAAAAAAAATCTAACCTAGTAAAAACGCTTCCTACTATTTTCCTGATGTTTTTGATATAGCATAATGGCAATGACAACACAGGCTATTAATGCAAGTGCACCAACTAGCATCAGTAGGAAAAGTTTTATACCACTCATACCAGAATGTTTTACATCTTCTATACGTTCTGAAACAGAAGAGAATTGAATTTATATACATGCAATATACACAATAGAGTATCCTATATTTGATTGCCTCTTGTACCTCTTGGTGCATCGTAGAATGCTGCTGATGGCACAATTTGAGATCTGTCTTCTTGATCTTTAGACTGTAAATTCATTTATATTGCCAAGTGTTATTATAAATAATTAAACCACTTATATTTTTATCGGTTTATAAAATTGCTTAATTTACATGTACAACATCAATATCAAAAATATGTGCGTATTATATGCAGTGTTTGCTGGTTTCTAGATAAAATTATCTAAATAATTATCCAGATAAAGAAATGGATCATCTTTAACTAGATGAAGAAATACAAAATATCTTTATCTTTATCTTAGATAAAAAATATATGTCATCTTATCTAAAAATTGTCTAAGATGACGTTTTCATTATGCAAAAGTTTTCCAGGCAAGCTTCTAAAAATCTATTTAAAATATCTAAAATTTTTGAAAAACTTAAAACTTAATAACTTAAAATGAGAAAAGAATGTCGTCGAGTCTTTCATTCTGTTCTACCTATGTGAACCTGGCACCCGACTTTTAAAAAATTAATTTTTTAATACAAAAAACGATAGCATTTCGATTGTAATTGTTTGTAGTAATAATAATTTCGTTTCTAGTTTTATCCCTTAAAAAATATAAAAATTTGAAAAAATGACTCGCACCCGACATTTAGATATTTCAAATCCGCTTGCGCAGTTTCTTTTAGAATCGTTTGTAGTTATTTGTAGTGCTTTCAACCTTCACTCTGGCCGTAAGGGTCTGGATTGACCCGGTGCCATAAAACTTAGAAGAAGAAGAAGAAGTTTGTAGTGCTTTTCGTTTCGTTGGTAGTTGGACGATTAAAAAATTGTAAACATTTAAACAAATGGCCAAGAGTGAACTTTTTTATTTATTCAGATATCTCGAAACGAAAAGCACTACAAACAACTACAAACGATTCTATAGAAGACTGCGCAAGCGAATTTGCAATATCTCAATAAATAAAAAAGTTCATTGTTGGTCATTTGTTTAAATGTTTATAATTTTTGAACCGTTCGACTACAAATAAAACGATAAGCACAACGAACAACTAAAAACGATTCTAAAGAAAACTACGTAAGCGGATTTGAGATATCTCAATCAATAAAACAGTTCACTCTTGGCCATTTGTTTAAATGTTTATAATTTTTGAACCGTTCAACTACAAATGAAACGAAACGCACTACAAACAACTACAAACGATTCTAAAGAAGACTGCGCAAGCGGATATGAAATTAGAGGCGTGCAAATCTGCTTTCACTCCCGTTCGTTCCCGACAGCGAGACTGGATTCTCGAGAGTCAGATTATCGGGAGCGATATTATCGAGAGTCTCGGGAACGAGTGAGTCCCGAATCCCGATGCTCTATTAGATGGAGTGGTAGTCGAAATCTACCCCCACTCCATCTGATAGAACATCGGGACTCGGGACTCGGGACTCGCTCGTTCTCGAGACTCTATTCTCGATACAGCGCTCCCGATAATCTGACTCTCGAGAATCCAGTCTCGCTGTCGGGAACGAGCGGGAGTGAGAGCAGATTTGCACGCCTCTATATGAAATATCTCAATAAATAAAAAAGTTCATTCTTGGCCATTTGTTAGACGTTTATAATTTTTAAACCGTTCAACTACAAACAAAACGAGAAGCACTACAAACAACTACAAACGATTCTAAGGAAAACTGCGCAAGCGGATTTGAGATATTTCAATAAATAAAAAAGTTCACTATTGGTCATTTGTTTAAATGTTTATAATTTTTGAACCGTTCAACTACAAACAAAACGAAAAGCACTACAAACAACTACAAACAATTCTAAAGAAGACTGCGCAAGCGGATTTGAGATATCTAAATGTCGGGTGCGAGTCATTTTTTCAAATTTTTATATTTTTTAAGGGATAAAACTACAAACGAAATTATTGTTACTACAAACAACTACAATCGAAATGCTATCGTTTTTTGTATTAAAAAATTAATTTTTTAAAAGTCGGGTGCCAGGTTCACATACGTGTGTTTATGATTTTAATATCCCATGTATAATTTGCGTCACAAATTTTACAAATATTTATAGTCTTATAAAATAAACAAAAATATCTAGATAATTATTTAGATTATCGCAATAATCATCTTTCATCTAGATTAAGTAAAAGCAAAATCATCTTTATTTCATCTAAGATAAATTTACGGATTTTTATTTTTATCTTTATAATTTTGAAATTATCTAAGTCCGCAGCAAAGACTGGCAATAGATCCTATTGCGCAAAACGCCATTATACTGAGTGTAATTATTCGGCAAATGCTTACATCATCTGGTAGGTCTAATTCATAGAAACGAATTGAAAGTATATCATGATTGTCAGACAAATCACCAGTGGTTGCGGAAATTCCGATATAATATCCCGTTGGAAGTTTAACTTCATTCACTTGAAAGCATTGCTTCCATCCTAGTTTATTGGCAATATCCGTTGAAACTTTATGATAAAAAAAACAATAAAAAATAACATTAGCATAAAATGTATATGTGATTCCAGTCAATATATGTATATATATATATATATATATATACAGTCAATATATGTATATATATATATATATATATATATACACATTTACAGATAAAAAAAAGGTAAATCAAGGTGACACAAGGTAAGCAGAAAACAATCCATAATGTAATAGAGCAAAGTACAAATGATGAGTAAGCACTCTAAGAAAAGATGTTATCTTACTATGTTATCTTACTATTGTTTTCTTACTAATTGATAATTTTTATTATATTGATATTTTAATATAATATGTGCACTGCATAATATAAGAGATGCAAAGATATTGAATAAATATGATTCAAATAATAAAAACATTCAAGCTTTAGCTAGAACTTTAAGAGTACTTATTGATAAGAGCACAATCCATATTTATTCTATATTATAAAATTATATTCAAAAATATACTCAACATATGTTATGTGCACCATTATGATTGCTGTATGTATCAAATATTATTGCTAAATATATTTTAATATTTATTTGTATTTGAATTTACTTACCAGTTAAGGTATCTTTCTCGTATCTTACAGCTATATGTGTACCATGTTCTAAATTTCTAAACTTTGCTTCACACCCTGCGAGTTGTGTATGAGTTCCATCACGATCGTGATCATAATGTAAAGATCCATTATTGACCATTGCTGAGATATAAGGATGTTGATGCTATTTTATAAAATATATAAAATATATATCACTTTTGTATTTAAAAAAAAAGATATAGAGAAACGTGAATTTTAAATGTTGCAACATACAATACTTAAGATATTGAATAAATATGATTCAAATAATAAAAACATTCAAGCTTTAGCTAGAACTTTAAGAGTACTTATTGATAAGAGCATCCATATTTCAATCCATATTTATTCTATATTATAAAATTATATTCAAAAATATATTCAACATACGTTATGTGCACCATTATGATTGCTGTATGTATCAAGTATTATTGCTAATCCTTGAAAATAATCTTGATTTCCAAATACTGGACCTGTTTTCATTCTTTCCTTGGTATACCAAATTGCAAAACCATCTCCAAATAAGTCCTTTCCTTTTCCATGTACTTTAAACTCAACTTGCAATTCCCAGTTTCGTACATGACATGGCTATAAATATGATAAACTTAAGGATAATCTCTTTTATTGCATGAGATATATATATATATATATATATATATATATTTTTTTTTTTTTTTCATATAACATATACAAAGAAAAATGTTGTAATGCTTACTACAGAATTCCATAAGGCACCTTGTTTGCTTTGTAAATCAGGTGTTATCCTAATGTAATTATTAGTTACCATTGTACTTCCCATAAAGTCCCAATAAGGCATTGTCATACCTGTCCCTATTATGCATTAAATATAATTTTGAGTAAATGTTATGTTATATAATATTTAAATTTGTAAAATATAATATAAATGTATATAAAATTTAAATAAAAAAGACAAACTTTATAAATGTACATTAATAGATACTCTATATTTCTCTATGATCATTATTAAATTTTAACTTACCTTGAATATAAGGTAAATAAAAAACTTATAAAAAAACTTATTGTTATTAAAAAAGTTCTCTTTTTCAATTAGTATTTCATAAAATTTATAGTTCGTATTATTATTTATAATTCATATTATTAATCTTCGAATAAAATAAGGAAAAATAATATTTCTAATAGTGCAGTATGAAAATTTCTAGCAAAGTATGATTAAACAAATTTGGCGCCCTTTAATTAAACGACATATATCCTTCACTGATACATAGTTATTTAATCTAATTTTATCACAAAGCATGAATATTGCTTTCATGTTACATATTGATATTGATATAAGACGTAGGCAGTTTTCTTTAATTTATGCACATATATATATATGTATATGATGTCGTAGGAAACATGTGAAAAATAATTCGTAACCTCAAAACTATGGTAGAATGAATCGTAGTGTAGAATATTGCAATTGAATAATAAATAATAAGCAGATCTTTTCGTGTCGATGCCCGATAAAAAGGAAACTCTCGCGTGCAAAATTTATTAAGATAATTAAAATCGGCGAACCTTGATACGGTTTGATCAAAGAATGTTCTCGTTTCTGGTAATCCTTTGTGTTCCATTCTGCGGCGAACGACTCCAAAATTCCGAGGATCAGAAGCAGCCACGAAATTATACTCATGTTTTCCCTCATTGGTAAAATTTCGCGCTTATTTTTCTATTACTTTAATAATATATAAATTATGAATACACAAATACGATTACAATGCGTTATCTGAAACAACCACTCCGCTTCGATGCACGTCAGCCAACTGCAGGAAAAACCACTCGAGTCTCGAGTTTCAAGTTGACCAACGTCATCGATATACAATCGATATACAATCGTTCGTAAAAATACATATACAGGGTGTCTCAGACCACCCGTACACTTTTAAAATAAAAATAAATGGCTTTTATCAAGAATCGCGAACAATTTTTAAATAAATCGGGTACACCTTATCAAATGGTGATATTTTTAACTTTTGATTCCGACCAGAAATACGCCATCCGGATCGGAAGTTGAATTTTTTAAGGAGAATCCCATACAGCACAAGATATTCTATGAACATCTTAAAATATTTTATGAATATTTGAATATTCTACGAATGTCCTAGAATGTTTATGGAATATCTTGTGCTGTATGGGATATGGTACTTTTTATTACAGATTCGAATTATACGTGAAAAAATAAGAAACTTTTGTATCAAATGTTTTTTCTAAAAGTGCCTCTGTTATTTTATCACAGTTACTTTCAAGATCAATTTTAAGATTGACAGAGGCACTTTCGATTTTTTTATAAAAGCCATTTATTTTTATTTTAAAAGGGGTGTACTGATCTGGGACACCCTGTATATATCAAAGAGTAGGGATCCTCAAGTGAGGATTCCTATCAGAGAGAAACTGAGAGGTGTCACACGAATTACAAAGTCAATGTCCACGAATGTTCTCAGAGGGTAACATATATGTTATCCTCTTTTTAATATTCACAAAGAGGACGTACCATTATCGCTTTCACAGATCAAACGGGCCATGACACCTCTGAGTCTTCTCTCTAATAAAACAATTAAACAAATATTCATAAAATTCAATATCTAAAAAAATTGTTTTTTACTACGTTTTCTTATATTCCTTATATTTGTTTAATCATCTTTTATATTTATTATTAGTATTATATTTATTATTATTAGTTAAATGATGCAAAAGAATTTGAAGAAATATAGTTAATAGTGATTTGAATTTCGCGCGCAAATGACGAGATCAAAACCTGATATTTGTGAACACTATGCACTTTATTTTGTTAGAATATACAGCCTGCTGGAATTCTATACTTATAATCAAAGTTTTCGATATTTATAAAATTATTGCGTCTTTTTTGTTACAATAAATTTGGATTTCGAGTTTACGTATCGATCGTTTGATTGACCAATCAAAACACGAGACATTCCTTGGATCGAGTGGAGTGCACTCTATATCCGTCAGTCATCTATGGCGAATCGGCAATCGTTTGATATTTCTCGCGGTCGTCTAGCGAATATCGCGTGTGAGTAATTAATTAAATATTGTGTCTCATAAAATATATCCAATAATCTAACATTGTATATCATCATTATTAAATGATCAATATCGAGAAATCACTTTCAAGATTTTCCTCGCTGAACTGGAAATGCAGTGATCGAACGCAATTTTATCACCAAGTATGTATGTATCGCCAAGATATTTGATTAATGCCTTGATATTTCTTTATAAAAATTGCACAGATATCTCTTTTATCTATTTATTTTTAGTGTTTGCTGAAATATCTCGAATTATTTCATTTCCAAATTTCTTTCTAACGGTTACATAGCTGCCTCAATCGCTTCAATACTTCGAGAATCGCAATATTGTTTCTCGATGAATAATCATGGCGGCCGATCTTGGAGCGCGTTGTGAAAATCGTATCGAGGAATTCTATTTGAATTATATTCCTTTCGCATTTCTCGCATTTGTTGCCTGAAAGTGAAAAAAGATTTATCGCGAGTGTCCTGTACAAATATCGCGTGTGATCGATACCAGCTGATTTCATCCGCTTCGAATTGTCATCAATGATCCTCATCTATTTTCCTCGAAGTGAAAGTGATTCTGACGTATCCCCGTTGTTAGGTATGTATCAACTTTTTTTTCAATATTAAATATTAAAATAAGGGAAGAATGTTCGAAATAGAAGAAATAAATCTTTTCTAAATGTTTCTCTAGCGATTCGATCTTCTTGTAATTCGCGCGCGAAAGCGATGTCAGCGCCGGTTAAGGAAAGGCGTTCCGGAAACGGAAGTCGTGCGTAAGAAGAGACGACGAGAGAACGAGCCGGCCGTACATACGCAATATACATAAAACGCACGTACGCGACGTACGCGCGCGCGACGCGTTTGACAGTTTTGACAGTTCGTCCCGCGCGGACCCACGCGGTCTCTCGGAGCGTCAAACTCGGCGAATCGGCAAAGCCGATCGAAATTTCCCTGATCCCGCGTCGAATATCCCTCGTTCGCGTTCCTGGAATTCGTACGTTGGCGTCTGCGCACGCGCACTCGTCGTGTCCCCGTCGTCGCAGTCGGTCTGCGGTTGCATGGCGTCCTGCGTAGTGCGTATGTGCGCTTGAGTACGACGGAGCCGTTCGTGCACGAGATACCGGCGCCCGCATTCGTCCGGCCAAGTCCACGTCGCGAGTAGTTGGCCGCGACGAGAGTAAGAAAGGACGACTATTAATATTTGAGCTGAGGAAGCGAGCTGCGACGAGTTAGGAAGGAGCGAAAGAGAGAGAGAGAGAGAGAGTGAGAGCGAGCGAGAGAGAGGGGGAGAGAGTGAGTGAGAGAGACCGAGTAGTAGGAGCAGGATTTAAGCGAATTAATTGCCGTACATTAAGTGGGGGCTTCACGCGGGCTTGTAGCGTTTGCACAAAGATCGGATAAAAAAAAAAACAAACAAGGGCGTGGAGTTTATCCGGGTGCGATTATAGGCCCGCCGTTAAAACGCTATCGTGGCCATGGGTAAGACGCCAAAGAAGGCGGCCCCTGGGGGCGATGAGAGGAATTTGTACGTTCGGAGGCTCAAGGCAACGACCGCGCCGTCGAGAGCTTCTGAATCTAGCTTGCACGAGAGACAGCGCGAGTCCGAGAGTTTCAACAGGTTTGTAGAAACAATCAGCAACAGCGAATTGCAAATTTCGCCAGAGTTTCTCAGTCACAAGCTTCAGTCTATCTGAATGACTTCCAAGACATTCGAGAGAAGAATGATTGTGGATTACATAGTACTGTTTGTGTATTTCACGCAACATTTGGGACTCGATAACTGTTTGTCGCTGTAGTTTCAAAAGTATTTTGTATTTTATAATATTTGGTACAAAACATGAGCATATCGTTTTATCCTTAAATTGTATATACAATTTTTTCATGATATATATGATCTGTGTACTATGTAATTGTCGTGTATATACGATTTATAAAATTTTCAACCAAACAATATTGTCACTAGTTTAAAGATTTAATTTTGAAATGAGAGCCGAATCGTTATAAGATTTATAATGAAACAAATTGATAAAAAAGATTGAGAGATACTTCAGAATCTTTATATTTATTATTATAGAGAAAATCATATTTTAATAATTTTGTATGTGTGAGAAAAATTATATAGAAAATTATATATGTATTTTTTTGGAAAGACATGAGAAACTTTGGTTAATCTTGTTTTACATATTTAAATTAGTACCTCTCATCACCTCCAGCATTTACTCAAAGGCCATCTGCCATACGACTTATCTCTCTTCATTGATTATGAATATCTTATTTTTGTTTTAGGCCAAAATTGACTGGAGTGCAGAAAAAGATTCCAGCTGGGTCAGGAAAGAATTTCAAGGTATATACTTCTAGTTTTTATTTTCTATTATTATTTATAATATATTCAGAAACTATTATAAATGTAGTAAATATATAATTATATATAATAATGTGTGGATAGATAATTGTATATATAATTATTTTGAGCCACATATATATTGCAATATACAGATATTAAATAATTCTTCAGAAATAATATGTTATATTTATATAATTATTGGAATTGTTATATTTTATTTATTTAATATATTATATATTATATATGTTTTATAAATATGTTACGTTATCATCAAGTTATGTATATTTGTTTATTTTTATTGGCAACAGTAATATTTTTTCTAACATTTTTAGTATTAATATTTTCTGTTAAACTTATAATTAAGACAGTATTATCTTTCATCATAGATTAGGCATGAACTTATCAGCATAGTATATATACTTGAAATGATAATTCAACATAATTAATCTTTTATTTTCTTGTTGCCAACTCACTAACATTAACAATTTTTTTATGATAATCAATTTTTGTATTTTCTTATTTTCCTTATAATATGTCATATGTATACATCAATCTTTTCCATGTGTTATAATACATACAAATATATACAAATGCATTGTATATAAAATGTTTATTACTAAATTTAATTTACATGTTGAAAATACTCTGTGTGTTAAGACAATTTATATGTATAATTTATAATTTATAATTGAAATCGACTCAATATTTTTGTCTTGAATGTAAAATTTTGTATTATATTATGTTGTGCAATCAAAAATTTAACAGATAATAGAAATTATATATAAATTATATAGATATTATAAATATATATTCTACAAGATAAGTAAATTTATTAAATTGCATATAAATGACAAAATAATATTACATTACATAACATAAATAACATGAAAAAAAGTATCTGAATATATATATAAATTATCTGTTAGGTTACTTTTTTGCAATGTGGAAATAATGTGTGTTGTAGAGCAAGCTTCGTCCTCCAACAAAAGGTGGATTTAATCAAGCATCAAAACAATTAAAATTATCAATGAAAAATCCAGAAGCGAAGACTGCAGATATGCAGTTGGAATCAGAAGAAGCTGAAGTTAAATTAAACGTTTCAATTCAAAAGGAAAATATCAAAGAAGAGAATGGTAACAACAAAGTTGAAGTTGAAGAATCTATTGCTGAAAAAGAACATGTTGATAATACTGAACAGACATCAAGTAAACTTCAGGCTTCCACAAAGACTATCCAAGAAGTTATACCTGTTGGAAGCAAAACTATTCCTCAAGAAAAAGAAGGAGTCTTATTAGAAAATGTTAACATTGAAATCAAAGAAATGGAAGAAGAGAATGATATAAAATTAACATTTGATGTGGAAAGTAGTTCCACAAAAAATGGAGAGGAAAAATTAAGTGATAAACGACCAAAGGACGATAGCCCGGAAGAAGTATTAAAAGACCAATTAAAAAACGGCACAAATGAAAAAGAAGAAATACAAAGCGAAGCTCAAACAGACACAACAGAAAGCTATTCAGTGGACATTGTTGAATCCACAACATCAGAATTATCTGAAACATCGGAATCCATTTCTCAGAGTGATACACAAAAGGATAAAGAGAAGATTGATGATATTATAACCAACGAAGCATCTGTTTCTTATGATTCATCTGCGCTAAAAGATTCATACATGCTAAAAGATGTACATGTCATGCTTGTCAGATCAGATTGTGTGAAAGATAATTCGAAACTCTTTGATGTAAGTAATATGGAAAGCACACCGAGTCAACTATCAAAAAATCTATCATTTGGCAAAACATTAAGGAACATCTCAGGAAGACACTCAATTGGTAGAGCGCGTAGTATTTTGCGTGACAGAATATCACCAAATAGCTCTCTTTTCGTAAATACATCAGATATGTCGATAGGACAGGATGAAGGTATAGAACCTAAGGTTTTACATTATAGCAGTTTACTATCCGACACTTTCCCGAGAAATGGTAGTCCATTGGACAGGAAACGTAAAATTGAGAAAAGAAATTGGGATTCAGCAAAAAAGCAGAAAACGGATGAAGAGAGTTCATTAAATACATCTATAAACCTAGTAAAAGGTTTTGTCAAACCTATGCTGATATCTACACCAAAAAGCACACCTTATAAATTTGAATCCACTAAATTAGACATTAGCGGGATAAAGGATGATGACAATAAGATAACGACTGAAGAAAGTACAAAGAAATGGTGTGTCATCATGTAAATTTCACATGAAAATTGTATGCTACTATACAAAAGAAAAAAAATTTTATATTTTCGAGAAATACTAAAGTTTAAATGATTAGAAGCATATATAGATTTTGATAGATAATTTTTTTTCTAATCTAAATAATTGAAATCTTATACCATTATGTTTTAAAATTTGTCCGGAAACAGATATATTTTTCTAATTTTTAGAAATGTTTTCTTTTCAATAGCAAAATATAATGTGTTTCTAATAACTAAATTAGTCCAATATATATTACATTTTTATTGTGCAAATTGTGCTAAAATTATTATTAGTGATTTTTTATTGCCATTCGCTAACCTTGGGATAAACAATTTTTCTAGAAAGGGAGAAGTAAGCTATAAAAAAAATGAAAAAGTACAATTTTTTATTAACTTGACATGACTATTTTATAAACAAAGACTTGATTCTATGAAATATGCTAGCTTTTGGCATAGTGCCAAAAGCTATAAAATAATTAAGCATATACACATGTACAGAAATGCAAATGTATTTTATTTCAGTACATGTATTAATTTACATCTTACATAATCTGTATTTATCTCCAATACAATTCTGTAGATAGAGATGGATACATGATAAAGGGTAAATACAGAGATTAGTTTTATTTTACTTATAAATAGAAATAGTTCTATATGACAGGTTACAATATTTTAATTGAACAAAATATTTACCTGGGAATAATTTCTTATATACTACATCATATCTGTGGAAAAAATGCATATTCTATTTCTCATTTATTTCTCATATATCATATAAAAAAAGACATATCTCTTTGTGTTTGATCCTTGGTGCATTACATATTTATATTTTTGTCATTTGTTAATGTTGATGAGGATTTGCATTACATGTGTGTTTTATTCCCTACACATAGTTCTTTTGAACACATTTTCAAAGATTAATTGTAACATCAATATAATTGTATATTTTGCTTTAGTTATAGTGAATTATTGTCACGAAATAAGTATATCCGCATTTATGATATCATTTTTTTTATAATTTGACATTAAGAAATATTCCTGCTTACTACAAATGATCCATATTATGATAATAGTCGTGCAAAAGATTTAATAACTTGTATATTGCAATGTTATATGTATAATTTTTTAATTAATTGATAGATCAATTCTATACTTTTATGGAAGACGTAATCTTCCATGTGCAACTGTATTTGATATAAGAATACTCATTTTTATCGACAGATATGAATATCTGTTGCAATTGTGAAAATTCAACGTGTAAGAAGTATTTAAATATAAAACTGTATAGCGTTATACAGTATATCTTAACAGAGAAATAAGAATTATATGATAGAAAAGACATATTTCTAGAAAGATTTTGTCTTATCTGTGCGACTTTATCAAATTTGTGCACTCAAGATGCTCTCATATTTTGCCATAGATATATTCTCTTGCGTAAGGGTGATACTATGCCTTTATATTACATATTTGTTGGGATGTATATTATATATCGAAATATATCTCTTTACGATCCTTCCGTTCATATTGATAAATTAAAAGTAGAAACGATTAAGACAATTCGACCAAAGTAATTTCCCAATGTCACTCGATCTATTCGTTTAGACCTGTCTAATAATTCTCCCTTGATTGTTAAAATTTATATATTGCGAGAAAAATATATTTAATTTCTGTATATGCGATATTGGATCATTACTTTGTCAATACATTGGAAAAATGTAATTTTTAAATTAATCAGGACTAAGCGAATAATCGTTAAGACATACTTTTATACTTGTTCGATTAAAGGCGTTAGAAGTGTATCTAAGAGAATGTATATAGAAACCTCTATGAGATTTATAATAAACTCTCGAAACTGCAAACTTGTTCGTTGTGTGTGATTATTTCACCGAGTAAATTACTAATTTTTATTTATTGCATCCACAGTAGGAAGGAAAAATTGATTTTAAACATAAAAATTTAAAATAACTTTATTTTTTATTTAATAATTACCAAATTATTATAAGATATGTTCATTATATATGTAACATATCGTTGAATTTATGTTATTAATTTAATGCGATATGAATATTTTTTTAATATTTCTTTCATATCTTTACGATATATTATTTCTTTCAAGTATAATAAATATATATTTTTGCAAGTGATATATTTTTTTAAATATAATAAACATATTTTTGTACTTTTTTAAATAAATATAATAGACATAAATATGCAATGAATTTCCACATAGCATCTATGTTCAAAAGACATTCACAGGATATCCTGAAGATATCCAATCGTCCAAAGATGTCTTCTGGATACTTTCTGGATGTCTTTTGGATATGCATGCTATGTGGATTATAGTCTGCAAGGATGCAGAAATCGCCAAGATCTTGAGGAATTTAAATGGATAAAGGAATAGTCTCGTATCTATTTCTTTGATCATATTCTGGAAATATGAGATTAAATCAACAACGGAAAAGTATATTTATTGGACAAATGGCTTATTGTTAGCTAATATTACTAATTCACAAGATCAAGTGCTGCGAATTATTAATCATGTTTCATAATTTGTAGATTTATCTCATCACGTTAATTTTCTCAAAATTTAAAGTTACTGTTACTATGGTAATATAATATAAAATCGCGTAATAAAATATAATTGAAATACAATTGTTAGCTTTCTTTTCATATTATTAATATTCTTAAAATTAAATTATTTCGTTTTGGAAAATGTAATAGTTGTTTGTTTGAAAATATAATATTTTAAATAAAACATAATTGAAGTTGATCAGAAATTTAATTTATATCATTAATAATGTAAAAATTTATTTCAAAGATATTTATCTTTTACTTCTCTCATTTATATGACAATAATATTGATAGAGTAATAGTAGAAAAATCATTTAAAGATATACAATTATTAATGTCTTTTGTCAAATGAGATTAAAATAGCGAATTCAACATAATTCTCGCCTCAATTACGTGATATATTTCAGTATATTAAGACTTCCTCTTAGATACTGTTCCAGTTGTGCTTCAATAATTAAGCTTGATTTGTCTGAATTCCTACTTTGATATCAATCTTCGTAATTAATATTGCTCTTCTTTTCTTCTTACAATTATTTTTTTATAAACTCTAAGAAACGTTGCAAATATTTCATTAAAAACTTTTATTAATGTTTTTATTGTTAACATACATAATTTTTTAATATAAAGATGTGTGGTGACTAAATAAAAATATACAGTATTTTTATTATAATCATAAAATGAAATTTATCGATAAATAAGACATCGCTCATATATAAATAATTGTTAGTTGTGATTTTACGTAAACTTTACACTATCGAGCATTAATCTTTAAATAAATAAAATGTTAATATTTTTCTAACAATGAGTGTTATATAAAATAATATTTTAAATGTCCCTTATTATACCTTATCTATATAATTTTTTTATATAGTCATATATTTTTGAGAAAAGTTAAATCTGTACAATCTGTTAAGTTTCGAAAACTAAGAAATAAATAATTAAATTAGATAATTTTTCTTGCTAAAACATTAATTATATTAAATCAAACTGATAAATATTTTTGCAGGTACACCATTTCAAAGACACTTAATTGTCTTGTGATAAAAAGAGGACATTTTTTCTAAACAATAAATAATAATTTGAATAATTATAATATGAAATTATATATTTTCTGTTATAATTACATATTATCTATAGGAAAATAATAAACGAATAATTATCTTATTTACTCCCTCTAGCAAATATGATATAAATGCACATTTTTTTCATTCGATTTCACGAATAATTTTTTGATTGTCATTTATTATTGCCTATCACATAATCTGTTTGCATGACCTTTTATATTAATCATTATTCGTTCGTATTAATCTTTTTTTATTTTGACTGGATAAAATATACATAATATATGCATAACAAAAGAATGCAGGCATATACAGTACTTCAACACACTACCCTGTCATACTACCCTGAATTCCTCATTATGCGGTCAATGGAATCTCGAGCAACACGCGCGAGATACATTTCAGAAATTTAAGGCCCGGTTGCGGCGTCAAGTGTCAACGATGTGGAATACATATCACGAATACGCACGATATTGGATCTGCGATGCAGCATATGAAATTATCTATCACATCTGTCATATATAATTATCTCTTCGTGACTAACATAAGTTGTATAATTGCAAATTTAAAAACGTTGCTTAAAAATATTTATTTACGTATCTCATAATTTATAATTGCACAAGTCTTGAATTTATATAAAATTTTGTAATAATTGTAAATCTATAATTGTCGAGATTTTTGTTCGATATTGGCACGGTGACCCAGCGAGAGACAAATTGTGTTTTAAGATGAAAATAAATTTTCTTGAGGCTATGAAACAAGAATGTATAATTCTGTTATTTATTCTATGCAAAGTAATAATTAAATTATAGAAAATTACTATCTGATTGTTATCTGACAGTGTCATTTATTGAATTCATAGAGCATCTCTCTCTTCGAAGTTTGTGTAAAATATTTTTTTATCAAGATCAATTAACCCTTGAAGTGACAATTGTATATAAATCAGCTTCTTCCTTTTTTTTCCTTGTAGAAGTCCCGCAAGTACTTCAGCAGGTCGTCACGACGGCTCTGTGAAGGCAGGGGCCTTGACATCCTTCCCGAAGTCCCGGCCACAGGACCGACCTGATCCTGATCCCGTGCGGATTCGGGGAGGCGTGATGCCTCACGTGGACCTCTCTGCGAAACTCCAGACCCTGGGCTACGTCGAGCACCAGCGGCGTGGAACGTGCCAGGCACGCCCAGGCCAAAGTGGAGCACGCGGTGGCGTAACTCTTGACCTCGGTGCAGCCACGCAGACACGGAAAGTCGTACAGTGTCCTCTCCAGCTGGTTGACCACCTGCTCGGCGACCTCGTGGGAACCGGTCTGCGCGCCGGAAGTGGCCAGTTGCCGTTTTATGCATTCCTCGAGCTCCGGCGTCGTCCCCAACGTCTGCGGCGCGGCCGCGCCGTTCAGGATCTTCAAGGCCTCCAGGCGTCGTGATGTCTGGACCATGCCGGCTAAACGCCACGAGAGCTGCGGGTGGGATACGACGGTTAGCAGAGGCTGCGGCTGGTAACGTATACCCTTGAATTCTATTAAAATATATGCATGTCGTTGGAGACGAGCAAATATTATATTTGCTCGACGACATGCTTTTCTTCTATAAATATTTAGAATATTTAATATAGTCGAATTGGACGAGGAAGTTAGATACGTTTGCGGCGTAGTAGGATTATCACAAACGGATGTTGGGTAGAGATTAGAATGGAATAGGTTTTATAACTCATACTCGCTGATTCATGATTGACGTTGACGCATGATTTATGCCTCCTATGATCCGATAGTTTCGCTAAAAACGATTGAATAGGTTTTTTATACGACAGATTTTTGATATCCCGATATATCTGATCAACATAGTTGTATCTGATAAGTATTAATTTGCAAAGCTGAAAATATACATTTTATCGAGTAAAAAAATCATGATTACTGATCATGCAAATAAAAAACTTGCAACCATAGTAAATTACTGTAGCCGTAGTATTTTATTCAATGTATAACATTATGATTTTAAAATGATATTTGCATACATATCAGATAATATTTCAATTATCCTCACGGAATTAAAAGTAATCTTTTATCCTTTGTAAAAGTGTAATGATTCATCGTAAAATTTAATAGCACTCTTGCTAAAGAAAATTAAATTTCCATTTCCAATTAGTTCTATAATTTTTACTTATATTGGTTTATATGTATTTTGTATAATTCCAATACGATGATTATTTTCTCCAATACCGTTCAGAAACGCGAGAATTACACTTGAATGATTCATAATCGATTTTGCAAAATATCGAATGTATTTTAATCGCAAATGATCTATGAATACGTAACATCTATGAATACATAATAGATCAAAGAGATTATATCGTCAACATGTTTTGCCGCTACCATGCTTATTATACTCATTATGAAGCCTATGTCGATCGTAATCTCTATGAAATCGGGGGCAGCATTGAAGTCACCACCGTAAAAATGCCGGTCGTTTTAATTAACCGAACGTGCGAACGTACTTCTTTCGCGTTATTCCGGTTATATCGTACGTAATTGCGCCGGAATTTCGCGGGATCGTTGCACGGAAGGAATCCTCTCCGTCGGATTTATACAATGGTAATATATGAGCATTGTTGATGAATTACTGCTTTTAATGGCGGCTCATCCTGAACAGAGCGCGACTAACTGTTCATCCGGTACCGTTACAAGTGCGAAAGTTCGCGCTGTTGTATTACAACTTGTACGTTTTTCACTCGTCATAACAATCGGCTATTTTATGCGTAATGAAGCAGAAGAAACGAGCTAAAGCTTAACGAGCCGGTGCGTTGATACGAGAACACAATACCAGAATATAATTTTTGCGTACCCCAGAATCCTCCATTGTTTAAAGGAAATGGACATTTTTCAGGCTGTTTCGCGAGAATCTCTTTTGACACATAATTATTCTGGTCGCGAATGTTAGAAAATAATGTACCTCTAACGGAACCGTGATTAATTCAATAATGCAATCATGCTTCATTATGAATGATAAGAAAAAACACTTAAAGAAATTATAATTATATTTATTAAGAGTGATAAGATTATTCTTCTCGACTTCGATGAAGGAGTATTTGAGGTGCAGCTGGTCAATTTATAGAAATATCGACTATTGGTTTATATCCGTATCAAGAATGTCGAAAGTTACGGAACTGCTGATACACGTAACACCTTCAATCTATGGGATTGAATTAGAACTTAGAAACTTGCGCTCTCCGCGTGACTATCTGTTGGATATAGCGTGGGCTGCAACCTACACATCGCGAAATATCAAATTAGATCATAGTCGGCCGATGACGTTATGTACGCGATGACGCGAAAGGTTTACTATTCGTCATCGATTCGAAGCACAATCGTCCCTCTTCCAAGCTCTCCTCTCGTATTTACAGTCGAGAGGAGCGTCGATATTTCTGGGACACTCTCTATAACGTGTGTGGGCATGTAAGAAAGAGCGAAAAAAATCGCCTCCATTGCAGAATCTATTTTATCGCGCGCGTGAAAGTCATCTTCCCGCTATGTAACGTATTAATTGCGGGGTGATAAGCTTATATAGATACGCACGATCTGGCTATTAATCGATTATTTTCCGCGGAATTCGATTTAATTAACTCGTCGGAAATTATGCTAGAAAAATTTAACATCGCGTAAGCTCATTATTAATAATTCGTGACGTTTTATTATTAATTAATTGAAAATTGGTTGCTCTGAGATAGATTCTTATTTATAGTTGCAATATCGAGCATCGCTTCATTAGTACTTATGATACTTTAAATTTTTTATGAGGCAATTATTTTTTGCGGGAACAATTAAATACACGGACTTGATTTGTGAAATGTTTGTTCTGACACTAATTAATATTTATTTTTTTTGGGGAAGGGAGGAAAAATAATTTTGTTTGAAGAACCAATTTATTATAAATTGTTTCTTATCTCTTAATATTTTTAAGAAAGTATTATCGTCACATCGATATACATTTATCATTTAATGCCACTAGATTCCATCTGCCAATATATTGAAAATACGCGAGGGATGAAAACTTTTCCGTAAAATAAGGGAAAGATACACGAGGCAAGTTGAACAGCAAGGAAATTTCTTTATCATGCTTATTTCTGTATGCGAAATGAAAGATGCGATGGCTGAATGGGAAATTAGTTCTCTCTGCCAGCGTTTATTTAAGAAAACGATTGCCTTTCGCACTTTATTCGTACATTAGTAGTAAAGAAAAGAGGATTTTACCAGAGATTTCAGCCTTTAAAATATCAATCAACGGCTGTCGAAATATTTCACTGCGTTCGTTCCTCATAATACTTTGTCCTTTTAGTGATATTCCTCTGGGAGAGAAATTCGTGCTTGCATCAAGTTATTTCGGGCTGAAATATAAATCGCATTGTCGATTGAAATTCGCCATCTGCAACGGAATTAGCTGTCGCGGCTCGTCTGAAAATGACGCATGAACGGGGGTTGCTGCAGCGCCAATTCTCGTCCTCAAAATTACGTTGCACATCTACGCCTCTCGAGGAAGATAGTATTTCGCGAATTGTCTCAGCCGGGTTATCGACCAAGTGACAGTAGCCTATTCTACAAGGTGACATAAACACGCGCACGCGACAGAGGGAGAGAGAGAGAGAGAGAGAGAGAGAGAGAGCTGACGAAGAAAGATAGTTGACAGGTGCGCGCGCGCGCGCATCTATAAACGTGTGTGTATCGCTTTCTTCGTGGATATTTATTTTAGTTCATCGATTTCCCAGATATCCGTGTGAAAGGTATCTGTATGTATCCGTGTATATATGCAAAGTACCTAATAGCCTCAGACTGACGGACTAGTGTCTCTCTCTCTCCATCCCTTTCCCTTTCTCTCTCTCTCTGTCACTTGCCGAGTATACTCCATCGCAAAAGTGCGCTCTCTGCCTGGCGCCCCTTTCGCACCACCACAGATCATCCCTTCGCTCTTCTCCCTCTGGCGGCTTTGACGTTAATGGTCCATCGATCGGGCGAGAGACAGGTGCGTGGTGATAGTAAAAATAATCTTACAGCACACTTATATGTATGTATAAACATCTCGTCCATGCTCCGTTCGAAATTTATCATTAACTGCCATAAAAAGGTATCTATTTGTACGTTTTCCTTCTCTTTCACCCTCTTGCTTTTCTTCTTCTCGTTTTTTCTCGGCTCGTTTGCTAATTAAAGAGAATATCGAGAACCAATGTTTTTCAAATGGATTATCGAATCTGCGAGATGCATGGTTTGTTTTAAACAATGCAATTCCCCCGGAACGAGCGTAATTTTAAAGCATTCTATTGGATCCGCGTTGCTAATGAAGAGATTGTTCGCTTTTAATGCGGATTAATATTTTGGAAATAAATTCGGATTTTTCTTTCGTCCATACGCGGATCGCATGCAATTATACAATGCTATTATATATGGAATTACATCTGTGCACGCAATTATGTGAAATTTGATTATTATTCTATGGAATTTGATCATTAATGCAAGAAATATTGGTTTAATTTAAATATGTCAAAAGTTAATTAAAATTACGCGTATTTTGGAGTGCTTAGTTAAAATTTTATTTGGTTTGCAGTATAATAATCGTTCTCTTAAAAGTTATTTTATACGAATTTATAAGTTTTCGTTGAAAGACTTGGTTGATCATAAAATTGAATTTCACACTGTAATGAAATTATTTGAATCAACGAGACGCGATGCGACGCGGACGCGAAATGGATCGCTTTTACGCTTCACCTGCAGTGAAGAAGTTTACTTTATAAATACCTGCTCGAGCCAGCAATAAAAATGAATTCATTACTTGTCAGCACAGTGTGAAATCTATAAAAAAATCCCTTGAATATATCTATGATATCTATCGATTCACTGTGTCCCGTGCAGTTTTTCATCTTTTTAAATTACATTTTGATATCTGAAATCGAGTGAAGCTCTTATTATCTTCTTTTTTATTTTTCTATTTTTAAGAAATGTGTAAATTCACATTTTATACGGATTTGACATTTTTATTTATTTACATACGTTTTAATAAATTTCAGCAATCTTTTCTTCTTTAAAAAAAATTACAGTGTATCAAAAATCCTTGATTTAAAAGTCATTGAATATGAAGAGCTTCCCATAAATTAAGCTCGAAAAGTTGATAATGGAATCTTATTGTTCGCTTGATTCTATACGAACTTTAATTAAGCAAGTTTCAATATTTTTTATATAAACTTTCTCATCAAAACATTTAATATTGATAAATCAAAGAAGTTTAGCGAAAAAGGAGCATTTTTCGTTGAACTTTCGCTACAGAGAAGATGAAGATTGTGTCTGAATTATTTGGAGAATGCTGATCGGGAAGGAGATACGATAGTGGAGATCTTTTGTACAACATGAGTTCCAAAGCACGGTTACGGAACACGTAAACCACACGCGGAGTGCGCGTTACGCGGTAGGATCGTTTGTAGCTTGGGCTCTCACATTATTCGGCGTGGGAGTGCAAGTGGAGAACAAGTGTCGACATACCGCATTCTCGGTCGAGTGTGTGCGACCTCCATTAGATCTCGGATCTCTCTCTTTTTCGTGATAATAAGCTTTGAGCTTTGTTTCATTTTTTTTATATCTCGAGGCTGCATCTCTCTGACTACATTTGTGATTGTGATTTCGTTCTTTTACGTGTACAGAAAAATATAGCAAAAATTGGCCTCATTATTGCACACTTACATTTGCATAATCACAGTGATAATGATCCACTTATCACTATTGTATGGTATCATTAGCGTTCAATGCTATCACAGTACATACTTAGTTTCCATAGCGACCTGTGGGTAACAGTCAATGTCGTGAAGCAATGTCACGCGAAAATGAGCTTGGCGAGTTCGTACGACAGTAACTCGTTCGATCATTCTTGTTGACATGCGAAACTAATGCGACTTTATTTTTAGAGAAACGTGTGTTTACATTCAGAATGAGAGAGACCGAATTTATAAAGAGAGTAATAAGCTTCTATTCTACGGTAAAAAATCGAAAAAATATATTTCCAATTTAATTTTCAATATTTACACGAATGAATAAACATATTTATGCTTACTTTGTTTATATCATTCAAGTCCGAACGAGATTTTAAAATGTTAAAATATGCATCAATGAGAGCGTATGTATACAAAAGGATTAAAAAATATTCACGACAAATATTATATTATTTTGAAAAATTTTCCTGTTGGGCGTCAAATGATATTTAATTTCTTTAATACAACATTAGATGATTTTGTAAAGGATTTTTGCCAGAATAAAAAAGAATTGTATAAAAAAACTCTCTAAAAATCAATTATGAGACATGAATATCTTTTGCAAAATCAATTGCATTTTGTACATTATTAATATTATTTGTACAAAGTGTAATCCAATATCACGTTACAGACTGACCTTTAACATGATTTGTGTTTGTTCGTGATGGCGTATATACGATTCTTGTAAACCATACATTAGCCGCTATGTGTATAGCAGTTTAATTGCGCATGCATTAAGCTATCATTGGCTGCGTTTAGCAGAAAAAGCTGCTTTACAACGATTGTAAAATTCGTGAGCCTGATTAGTGTATGCTCTTAATTTTGGCTGAATCTAAGAGTGTACACCAATCAAATTCACGAATTTTACAATAGTTGCAAAGCAGCTTTTTCTGCTGAACGCAGCAATTGATGTTCAATTTTTACATATTTTTTGGCATTGTTTTTTTGGATCTATGTTATTTATTATGAAAATGAAATTTGTGCAAAATTCGACTTTAAATTAAAATTTAAAAATGAATGATGTGTAAGAGACATTTTATTAATTATTTATTTTTGTTATGTGAGAGAGATATATTAAACGAACAATTAATTAGTAATTTATTAATTTTTTTACATAAACAGCAAGTAATACGCGTTAAAAAGATATTGGATTACATCTATTAATTCAAACGAGGAAATTTTTATTTATTAATTATAGAAAAATTAAAAATTGAAATATATATATATATATATATTTTTTTTTTTTTTTTTTTTCATTCAGAGTCCGTTAATAATCCAATTACGAAGCGGGACAACGACACATTGTATAATGGATTCACATGATAACGATATATAAATTATATATCGTTTTACATGTCAATTAAATGTACATATATATTTGCGCTATTTAATTTATACGTAAAATATGTATATAAGAAAAATATTCTATAGAAAGAGAAAGAGGAGGAGGGAAAGAGCAAATCAATTTTTTAATATTGTTTGCTCGTAATCATCAGAATAAAAAAAAACAAAATTATATAAAAAAATACTTTAAAAATAAAAAAAGAAAAATAATAAATCTAAAAATAAAAATCAATTATGACACATGAATGTCTTTTACAAAATCAATTGCATGTTGCACATTAATATACAAATAAATGTCTATGTCAGAATGTTATTTGCATCCCGATTAAAAATATATTTTTATCACATATTTAGTATGTTATTCTCATAGAATTAATCATATAAGATTAATCAACTACTCATACGATTATATATATTTAACAAGAGACCTGACATTAAGTCAGGTTGATATTAAGACAGATGGTTGGACGAAATGTATCACATATATAAATAGTCGCAAGAATTGTGAAATAGTAGAAGTCTTTTTTTTGGAAAACCTTTTTTTAGATTCCGTTAATAATCCATCTGCGAAACGAGACAATGACATATTGTATAATGGATATTCGCACGATAATATTACGCCTACATATGACTAATTCATACGCATTTCTGTGAATGATCGAGCGATATTCGTATAGTTACGTGATATCCATAGTAGTTACGTTCTTTTATTACGTCCGACCGTTTTCATATTGCGAAAGTCGCGCACTGTCTGTCCCGTGAAATTGATCGATGAAAAAAAAAAGATATCTCGATTTTCGATATGTAATGCGGTGTGACATTTGACTTTGTCATTTTCATTGATAATTTTTATACTATCCATTGTGTATGAAAATTGCTGTTAATGTGCAATTTAAATTTTTTAAATGTAAGATTTTCAATTATTTATTAATTAATCATTTAATTGAAATTTTATGCTTTACGATTTAATTTTAATTCAGATTAGATTTTTCAAATTTATGTTAGAACTACAAAGAGGTTTCTTCGTATATCTATAGATATATATGTGCGAGATTTCAAGTATCGAAATTTAGCGAGCTAAGGAATCTTTGATCGCGATTACTTGATCTAAAGTTACACTCACCACTACGACCGAGTAGAGAATCTTCGCTTTTAAGTCAGGAGCGTCCTTGAGTGGCTCTAGCGCGTCTAATGCGTCCAGGGTATGCAAATTGGCCTGGGCGTAAAGAGCGCCGTATCTCTCGGCGAGTCGCTCCACCGTAATGTCCGCCGAGGTTAAATCTGAGCAATTCTCCTCCACGCTGAGAATTTCGCAGTTGCTGCCCGTTACAACTGGCTCCGGAGTTGGGCTACAACTGTCGTCCGTATGGTAGCCAGCGCTGCTGGATTCCTCCTCGTAGTCGTCGCCTAGATTCTCCTCGAGATGAAATACCTGTGCAGAGATAGTTTATGACGTAGCACAGGATTTCGATACAAAATATTTAAGTATAAAAGTATTTGTTTTTATATGATTTTTTGTATTTTTATTTATTTATACTTGAATATTTACATTCCTTTCTAATTTTAGAGGATATTTTTTTATTTTTTTCCGATATCATACATATATGTCTCTTCAAACTCTATATTGGTTTTATATTTATAATGATTTTTTTAATCTAAATCTAAATATTTTTCTTTCTTTTGTAAATATACATTGTGCGTGTAAAGGATGTCTATGAGATATGAAAAAGTCGGAAGAGTTGAAAATTATTAGAGAATAATGAAAAAAGTTAGAGGGTAAATTTATCTGATTTAAAATGAGATAGAAATAAAAAAATATAAAAAGATTGGCTTTGATTTTTCTCTCTTGAAAAAATCCAAATGAACATATCCAGATAAAAATTAATCAATTGAAGATATTTATCGACATATCTATCTTTCGTTGCATTTGTGGAAAAGAAATATATAAAGATAGTATTTTTATTACATTTGTATAATAGAATGCGTACACAGAAAAAAATAAGTGTCAAATCAAAACTTATATACTAAAACTAACGCATTGTTTCGTATATATACGCAACAATTTATAATCTTCGTAGAAGAATTTAATAATTTTAAATTTCAATAATATTATATTCTTATTTTAATATTGTAATTGTCACTTCAAGAATATATAATTATTTAATTCTACTTTAAGAAAATTATAATCTTTGATTTAAAAATGTTATTTTGTATCCAACATTGTTTCTTTTCCATTCAAGAAAATTAAATCTTAAATCATAAGAATATATTTTTCTTGATTGAACTATATAAAATGGCTTCATTCAAGTAAGCAATTATTCAAGCAATTATATTTTTCTTTCATTAACGCAATATAATTTTATTTCAAGATTTCCATGTTAAAACTAAATATATTTTCAAAACAAGAATGTCCTTTTTTCTGTGTATTAGAGGTTCTGTATATCAGAGGAGAATTTACTGGACAATCGAGGCATACGCGCTTTTTTCTATCCACTTGTCCTACTTTCGATTGGGTTTGCAGTCAAGGTTTTGCAGTCAATTCTGGGCTTTCAATTAAAACGCACTCAATGGAGAGCAATTTACGCGTTTTGGAGCGAGTTTTCCAATTCTGTTATATAACAATTTGCCACTTTCCGCTCTTTTTACGTTTCAACGACCGTCATTTTCGGCCATTTGAAGTTCTAGCGAGAAAGTAAAGGAGATAATTATTCGTATATATTTTTGCTTTCAATTTGACGATTACAAACGATTCCAAAAACTTTGTCGCCGCGCGTTTGTTCATTTTAACGGGAAACAGTTTAAGCGCATCACGCGATTCTCAGCAGAATTCATCGCGTTCTCAATCGAATTTCGACTAAATTACGCGAGAAGATGAACGTTGCGCATTTACACGTTAAAACACTTTAGAGAGTTTCTCTGTCGACCGCGGCAAAATCCATCGAGCTAGACGCGATTATTTTCCTCATTGAAGCGAATGAGATCGGTCAGAAAGAGGAGAACGCTAATTTTGCCGTTTGTATCGTCCAATTAAATAGAAATTGCTATTTCTTCTCGTAGATGGATATCCCGATCGTGTTCTGTCAAAACGTTTTGCCAAAAGTCAAGCAGTCGGCGCGGAATCGATTTGCAAAGTTTTTATTGCTCCGCAAAACTGCGCAATGACAACTAGGTGACAGTGAGACGTCTAAAATATTTATCGTGCATGCGATGGATTGCTCTCGATGCTGATAATTTATAATTCTCGCTATTAAATATTCGCGCGCGATATTAATAATAGTGTATTTAATATTCGCTCTAACGCACCGTGTTTCGAAACGATACTCATGAATATCGTGTGTATTATTGATTTTATCGATAAAGTCGTTGGAACAATGTTACTCCAAACTTTATAATCAGCTTTTTGGTCATGAATTATGAATATGTGAATTATGATGCGAAATTTACAATAAAACTGGTCGCTTAAGTGCGCTTGTTTTTATTTGATTAAGAAAGAATTGTTTCTATTTAATTCGTACATATTTATCTTTGCATATTTTGCGATATATAGGTTCAGTTTATATTCTCGCAATTATTATTAATAGCATGGGTTAATGCATGCACATATTCTGTACATCTATTTGGTATGTATGACTGTTTGGTATGCTTGTGCATGATGATAAATTTTATTTCGTCCAAAGCTTCAATTTTGATATTTTAATCAAATATATTCGATGTAATCGATTCGCCAGACTGATAGAAATAATTTATATTCTCCACATATTCCTGCTCTCTACTAGAATATAAATGACAAATGCGGATGCCGTCGTTTTGATTCTTTTGATATCGTGCTCGTTTTAATTTACCTTCGAGTTAATAAATCGCATCTCGTTTATTCATTTACTTTATTAATCGCGTTTATTTATTAATCGCGCGAGATAAATTTATTTTTTGCTAATTCTTTTCTATTAATTTAGTACCCGCGATCTACGTGTCACCCTCGGTCAAGAGCAATCGTGTCTAAATAACAACAAAAGTAAATTCGTGTAATTTAGTACCGCTGTAGAACCCTTATGGGATTTCACGGTGGTTACACATGGCGTCTTTTGACATCGTACGGACTGTCCTGGACGCATCAGTTGCCGCAAATCTCACGAGAATACTCTCAGTTGCACATCTTGTGGAACCATGTGCTCTCTCGTGCCGCAGCTCCTTCACCTTTCTTATTGTTTCCGTCGACCGCACGAGTCTCACACAAGGGCACGAAAAATAAATCGCGATTATTGCTTCAGTGAATTGCCGTTTTTATGTCACATTTCTTTCGCTTGAAACGGTCGCGCAAATTGCTTCGCGAATAGAGTTAGATATGTCTCCCTTAAGCAGATATTATTAAAATAGGAAGGACCCTGAAAGAGATCGTATTTCCTGAATTTCTTATTTGAAGTCGAATTATCTCATCATCATTAGCATTAAATTAATATTCGTTTTTAGGAAACTCTTTTAAGCCACGGTCTACAAAATCAAGCGCGATCTGCCTTTCTCGTAAGGATGTGAAAGCTAAAAAACCTGCGTGTGTTTTCGAGGATTAAATTTCGGGAATTGGACGAAGATGCGACGCTTCTCGCTTACCTGTGGATTATCCTCGCTCATAAACTGCAGGGCAAAGGCGCAGCCCCTGGAAAATTGCAGCAACCTGGCGGCGAGGGCCGGATTCTTCGCGTTCGTCGATACGAAGGTCGAGTTTCGCAAGGCCGTCCATTGTCGGAGCGCCTCCTTGTCCTGCTCGACCCGGCGCTTCAACTCCGCCAGTAGATTCTCCAAGCTGCACGGTCCTCCCGCTTTCTCCAAGGTGTTCAGCAGGCTCTGATTATCGATCAGCCGCTGCTGGATCTCGCTGTATTTCAGGGAAAGTTGCCGCTGATGCGAGGCTGCCTGTACACCTTGATCCGCTAAAGCGTAAGAAAAGATCGGAGCTTCTCTCTCTCTCTCTCTCTTTCTCTTTCTCTCTCTTTCTCTCTTCGGGAGTTTTATTATTATTTTTTTATTATTAGAGCGGAACCGATGAGCAGCGCGCGAGACGATTATTAGTGGCGTCCGTTGCTATCTTTTTACGATGAGGTACGCAGATAGTCGGACCGATATCCGGCACGGAATCACCGGGAGTGTCTGATATCGCAGCGAAATATGTTATACTTTCCTTTTAATAGTGAAATGGGATTAAATTATGTGCCGTTTCCGCGCTCTTGCGCGCGAGACATAAATTTCCGCAGGTTCACGCTCCAATAAGTTATAGTTCGCTCTCTCTTCTCATTATATCATAATATAAAAGGCCCATTATATCCTATTCTTTATCTAACAAGTGAACAAAATCCTGAGATAATCTCTGCTTCTTGAGAAAAGATTTTATTAATTATTAGATCTTAGTAATTAAAGCTAATGATGGAATATAAATGAGTTATCTATATGATATTATTAACTGCTAATTGTATTAATAAAAGTCGAAAGAAGAAACAACAGAATTTTGTAATTGAAATGAATTGAAATGTTTTTCATTTCAATTACAAGATAATGTTTAAATACGCGATTCACATGCAAAAATGTATGCGTTTAAAGTTGTAATTTGGAAAAATGTACATATTTAATTTGATTGTTTCAGGAAAATTTAGTTATTTAAAAATACAGTTATTTTGAATAAATGAGTTATCTATATGATATTATTAACTGCTAATTGTATTAATAAAAGTCAAAAGAAGAAATGACGGAATTTTGTAATTGAAATATTTTTCATTTCAATTACAAAATAACGTTTAAATACGCGATTCACATGCAAAAATGTATGTGTTTGAAATTGTAATTTGAAAAAAATGTACATATTTAATTTGACTGTTTCAGGAAAATTTAGTTATTTAAAAATACAGTTATTTTGAATAAATGAGTTATCTATATGATATTATTAACTGCTAATTGTATTAATAAAAGTCAAAAGAAGAAATGACGGAATTTTGTAATTGAAATATTTTTCATTTCAATTACAAGATAACGTTTAAATACGCGATTCACATGCAAAAATGTATGTGTTTGAAATTGTAATTTGAAAAAAATGTACATATTTAATTGGACTGTTTCAGGAAAATTTAAGTTATTTAAAAATATAGTTATTTTAAATTCACGAGATGACACTTGTGAAAGTAACATTTCTCAGTAGTCACTTATCAGTATTTACGAACGACATCGTTCATTGATCGATAGTTTGCACATGTCTCTGTCATCTCTTTAACACCTTTCTCCTCGGTGTGACACATCGATGATGACGCGCTCGGGCTGCGCGTCATAAAAGACACCCGCGAACGAGAGAGTGATGCGAGAGTCTCCTATGTAAATCGCATGGCACTCGGCCACGACCGACATTAAAGGCGATTTGCATTTGTAAACGTAACGCGACGCCCGCTAAAATCCGATACTTCACGATTCCGCGGTGCTCCAGATGTTCGCGCGATGATGAGACTACCGGTGCAACTTTATTCCGACATAATTAGCGGAGCGAATTAATCCCATCGGGCGGTAGATGATAATTGCATGCTATAATGTGTATCGCCGCGATGCACCGATGAGCGCGTTTTGCATCCGATAACTCCGGTAAATCCGTGTCGCGGTTTTCTGCGAGTATTTTGATAACACGCCCGTCATAAAGCTCGAATATCGTATGAAAATCCGGGTGGATTTACGAAATGGCGTGTAATTGCGAAATATTGTAACGTCAGTTTAACGTTACACTGCCCCAAGGCAATTAACACCTCTTTTTTTGAATAATTAATCGTGTAATCCAAGTATAAACGAATCCTCATTTATCTTCATCGTGTATTGTCATAAAATCTTGTAATACCATCGTGCTAATTTGAAGCTTTCTCAAAAATTGAAGCGATTTTAAATATTTACAAACTTGTAAATATGCAGGAGATTATTAGAAATATTAATTTACGACGTGCTAGATAACATCATCTTTGCCTTAAGAAGGAAATCAAAGTCTTTAATGTACCTTTATGGGTTCCAGCGTGCTTGCCAAAGTTCTCGACCTTGTGTAACGCCAATTTGTAAGTCTCCATTCGCGTCTCGAGTTCCTCTTTCAACGCAACCGGCAGAGGTACCAGATTCGACGTAACGGAGTTCTCGGAGTTGTTCGTTTGCGAGGAAGGCACCAGTCCATGCTTGCCAAGTCCCTCTACGGCTCTCTCTAGGGCGCGTTTCCTCGATATCAGTATGTTCTTTGTGTTGGGCGATAATCTGTTTAAGGATACGAGAAGTTTGCACCAGATTCGCGGTCGAGAGTGGTCATGACTGGTCGATATCAGATGCACTATCCTCCAGAGAACTTGCTCGATTCGCAAGATCTTCGTATCGCTGACGTTCAGCTCCACCAACCGAGAATAAAGCGCCTCCAGCAGGATGAGACTGTGCGGCAGCGTCTCGATCAACAGGTCCACCGGAATATCTGTCAAGGCAGCCTTCAGAGTATAATGCGGTAGTTTCATCAAGAAGCCGGCCGCCTCCCTATATTGTCTTCCCTCGTACAATCTTAGTAGTCTGGAAGAAGGGATCGTATTTTGTTAGCATGCGTGTAATAGATTGGCATCTGTTGGCGGAACTTTACATCAAACTTGAAGAACAGTGTCAGAAGGGAGTAAAATCAAGATTTTACTTTAGGACGCGTGAACTCAATCTCAATATATTTACAAAAATGATGCTTATGTTCGTTCAATATACATATATAACAATAACAAATTTATAATTAAAAAAGACTGTATTTTCATACATTTATTGTGCTATATGCATCTAATTTCTGGCTATCTTACATCACGTCAGTTACAATTTTTACATTGCATTTTAAGCAATGTACAGAAGCGAGAGAACATGTACATGTAATAAAATGTGTGATGAAAATAAAAATTAAAAGGCAAATGCAGTCCAACGAATTTATCGTTGTCAAAGATTACGAAGATGTTTGTATTGAGAAGACAATACGTGCTATTCATCATTGTACGCTATTGGAGATATCGGATAATGGTTGTGGATGTTGGATGTAGTGAAGGTAATGTAGAATTGCCAATTGTGCGATGAATTTGCGTAAACTTGGGGAAATACTGGTATCGGCATGTACGCTAATAATTTATTGCCAATAATAGTTTGGATTTGTGATTATTCATGATGTTTAAGTTATTTCATCGAAAGTAATCGAAAATACATATATGATTCTTTCATGCGATTAATGTCATATTGCATTTACTATATTTTATGATATAACTGGGGAGACTGAAAATCAAATTATATTCTGCTTGATAATATAATTATATACATTTGAACACCTGGATATTTTTGGAAATAAACCAATTTTACATATTAAATCAGAATTAAAACTGCAGTAACTGTGATTTGCAAATTTGATAAAAATATTATAGAAAGTAATTATATGAATGCGCTTTTGATATCGTTGATCATTCCGCTTGAAAAAATTCATCGAGTTTGTTACACGTGCCAGAGAAAACCAGAGATAAAACTTTATACAATTAATATATGAAATTAAAATATAATATAAGATTATATAACGTAATACGAGATACATGTTTCACATAATTAAAGTTGCAATATTTTGCGAATATTTAAAGATATTAATACAACAAATAATTACATTGATGTGCGCTCTGGATAAAAGTCAATTAAAAAAAATTTATGAATTTCATTACATTAAAAAGAGGAATAAATGAGATTAATAATTAATAATATACAATTATTAATTGTAAATAATATTTAATATATGTTTATAACACATAATGCGTAATTATGGATTAACGAGCTGTACTTGGAGCTAATTACGTATCTCGCTGATCTTACGGAAGCGGTAATCAGTTGTATAATCATGAATTATCGTTATTAAAAAGTCGCGTCGACGGCGGGAACGCATTAATTTATCTCGCCTCGCAGACGAATAAGTGTCTGTCGGATTTATTATCGCGAAGATTATTCTTATTATTAGGAAATTGCGTTAAGCGGATTTATCGTGCATATATTTCTCTTATTAGAATCGTTACGCGAATCGTTTTCGGTTGCTTTTTGCACTAATCATCCATATTTATGTTTTATCGATCGGTCGCCTTCATATAATTGATAATTGATTGTCACGTTACTCCTCTCCTCTCTCGCGGTGTTCTATTGAAGCGCGACGTTGGGGAACTAATAAATCTATTATATGTCGCGGCTGTCTGGCTAACGGATATGATGGTAATTATCTCTGATTCTTGGCTGAGACAATGTGATTAGATAATGCGGGAGACTGTTATAGTTATACGCAGGCAGAGCAGTCACATCAATGTATATATGTACGTAGCAAATTGTAATTATAAGTCGCGGTTGTCGCTTCGCAAGATCCTTTGTTATGATTCTTCTTGCATAAAAGCATCGTGCTTCATAATTGCAATACGTTACCTTTATGCGTAATTGGTACAATATGCTCGTTACACACAATTAAGGGACGTGAAAATTTTTTTATCTTTGTCGAAGACTCGTTCTTACAAAATTATATAAGTAATCAAACGCGATTAATTAGAAACCCGAAAAATTTCTACTCAATTTTGTGAGCACAGCTATTCTCAAATTTTTCTTTTCCTTTGGTGTTACTTTTTATAGGAAGTTTTTAACAAAATTTTAATTACATTCGAATTAATTTTATATACTTAAAATTTAATTAATTTTTAATTTGATTAATTTAATTTTTTTTAAATAAAATTTAAAATAGAAATTTTAATTTATTTTTAATTAATTAATTTTGACTTTTATGTGTTTCTCAAGTTTGCTCCAGAGCTTGCTTTATAAGATTATGTGGATATCTTGTCTCCGGACAAGGATTTTGTTACATGTTTGGAAAGTAATTTGCGAATTTTAAAGCACTAGGCTTCAATAATCTGATTCGAGCAATAACTTTTATAAAGTTTATGTACCTTCTCAATGCCATCCGTGGATTGGAGCCCTCATCCTCCGGAATACCGATATGGCCGACCTGGAACTGCGAGCCAGGACCCCATACGAGTCTTTGTATCGTATTTCTGGGTCGCTCCGGCCTGATTCTCTCGCAGGAATTGATGCCTGGGGGTGATACGTTCTGCCTGCTCATCTTCGTTCACTCTTCGCCGCTCTTATTTTTCTAATGCCTATGCTTTTCGGTAGGCGTCCAGATTTCGTATTTATTTATTCTCCACGCGTAAGACGAAGGGTTAAAAACGTCACTCAAGAATTGCCTTTACGATCGTTTCTCCCGGTTCTCCGGGACACATCGTTCAAGACATCCACTTCTCGGGTTGGCTTTTCTTTCACCGCTACTTTGGAACTTTCACGGTCCTTTCTCTTTGCCCTCGATGCGATCTTTGACCTGTCAGCCACGCGTCTCCGTGAACCCAGGGTCGCCGCTCCACCTTTCGCAAATTGATACTTTTTACGGCATACTCGGGGGCGAGTCTGTCGCGACAATAAGAGTCTTGTCGGTCCTTTATCTGCGTCCCTTAACTGCCTTCGCAATCGCAGACTTTCATCAATCAAATTGATTTCGAGTGTTTTGTGATAGGCTCCTTCGAATAGTAAAAAGTATGATGATTTTAATAAATATAAAAAGGTATTTTACGTGAGAGAAAGAAATTGTGTGTGTGATATCGATTAATTCAATGATTTTAATGAAAATTTCAGATACCAATTTTTTCGCGTTTTCAAGATTTTCCGATAAGATGGGAAGAGGCTCCTTCAAGATTATTTGTTTATTTTCATTACGAGAACTGGTTTCTTAATTGTACGCCATATGATCGATTTCTCCTAAGTAAATAGTTCCAAGCGTATTCACTAATGCTATTCTGGTTTGAAGCAATATCTTGGTTTCTCCGTCAATATTATTCCTTAATTATTCGTTCCTTAATTATTCCTGTTCGCGTATCTTACAAGTGACATTAATTAGTGTTTAATTTACTTTCTTCTTCAACCTTCTTTTGATGCCTAGTTTTATCGATAAGATTTCTATCTAATGAATATAAGTTATTTATATCAAAATTATATTGAAATAATTTCGATTTATTTCTATCCCGTGCCTTGCAAATAGACACACAAGTCGAATATCTTTCCTAACGATAAAGTTTAAAAATCGACTCTTTTTTTATAATCGTATCCATTAGAGCGACGCGTGCTGATTACTCTCGACCCCTCGTTTTTCTTCGCTTTGACTTCACTTTGTCCTTGACGAGGTTAGCCCTTCCTTTCTCTCCCTCACGATTTTCCGCACGTCTGGTCTCTGGCAGAAACGTAAGCTGCCTCGAGGCAGACCGTCGTCTAATTTTCTAACCGCTATTCTCTTTCGCACGGGCTCTTTTTCGCAATTCCCCGCTTAGAAACAGCCGGCAGGAACATTTCATTTTTGATTCACTTTTATGCCCGCCGCGTTTCTCAACCTCGTTTCTTCACTTGTTGAATCCATCGCAAGTGCTACATCATCTCGTCATGCGATTTTCTCTGTGGTTCGCATAGATTAATATCGAGCCTCGTTTTTTACCGCGAGAATACCCGAAGCCGATTGACGATTTTTTGCCTCTCTTCTCTTCCCTCTGGCGAAATATGCATTCTTCTTCCTCGCTCGTCTCTCTGCCCGCGTCTCTTTCTCGCAAATTTCTTTCCGTCTGGTCCTCGAATACGAAACGCGAACTGACCTACAGCCTCGGGGCAAACCGGCCCACTTCTTCGCAAGCCAAGTTGGACCTGCGAACAGAATTATTCACTGTGAGTCGCGTTCTTTTTCGATACATCCGGGCGAAATGTTTTTACGCGCCCGCCGCGCATGCAATCCACGTGGGACGTGTCGGGAGATTCGCATAAATTCACGATATATTTCGTGAAATAAGCGCGGAAATTCGATCGCGAGAAAATCCTACTGTATATGCAAAATGTGTCTCGGTGCTATCAGAAAATATCTTGGTGACTGATATCTTGGCAAATTTGAAACGGATCTTTCTCTTAACGAAAATTTTACCTATGCTTATGTACCGTATATAATTTTCAATCTTTTAGATAGTTTTATAATTAAATACCGTATTGAAATAGTACCAAAGCACAAATGTAAATTGAAAATAATTAAATACACAAAAGTTTAATTATCTACTTATATAGATGAAATTTAGTTTATCAAATTCTTATATAGATTACTTATATAGATGAAATTTAGTTTATCAAATTCTTTAAAATTTCTTTATATTTTTATAGTTATAATGAAATGTTTATAATATAATTTTTATATATTTTTGTAATATAATTTTTACAATTATAGACTCTTGAAATTTTCTATAAAGAAAAATCGATGCTAAGAAGGATCCGAAAAAGTTTAACATTAATGTTTCAAGACACACGATCTTCGATTTCCTTTAAAAGCGAGCGTAAAATAAGAAGGTAAAAAGAGAAAAATAAATTCAAACAGTTATCAAAAATGAAAAGAGTATCCATTTTTCTTCTATAACAGTCTTTCTGTACACTTTGTATACGTGCGCGTGTCCTGGCAGAATAAAATATTTGCCGTTAGCGATGCAACACTCTATAGCGACAGAAATGGTCCATGCATGATGCATCAGATCTCGGAACTGCGGTGTATAATCTCGCTGGTGCATCACAGATGCCTAGCAAATTTCCGTATACCTTTGTCGGAAATATGTGCCTTTTATAGTGTGATAAAATTCACGGACGAGAGAAAGATATTGAAAGATTTTGCGAGGGAAAAAAATGGGAAATAAAAAAAATTGATATCTGCAATGAATAATTCGGAATAATATAAGCATCGCTTAGTAACGATGAATACGAAGCAAGAACATGCATCGATTCGAACAGTTATTGCATCTGAAGTCGATAACGAAACAATTTCTGCATTAAAAAAATATTATCGTATGATATATATATATATATATATATATATATATATATATATATATATTTGCATTTCGTTTAAATTTTTCATATCTGGATGAAATAATTGGAGAGATTAATGTTTTTTTAGTACATTTTTTAGAGTGTTTAACGAAACGTTTTTCCGCAATTTATTTTATATAACAAAGAATATACGAGTTCGCTCCACTTGCATATAGTAATAAATTTTTTACATTACTTTAATTATGCTTATGTGCACAGAATTCGTCATTCTAACGCGATTTTCACATTTTTTAAGTTAATTTAACTAATTTTTGGCATTGTGATATTGTAACGAGTTTTAACAAAATTCATTTGTTGCAATTTAATAAAAATATCGGGAACAAAATGATCGAGAGAAAAATGTTTTAATTAAGGAATTATTAACATTTATTATTTGCCGTGGAATTATATATATATATAATGATAATCTGACTTAGAAAATATTAATTGAATAACGACTGAAACTTCAATTTTCTCAATTTCATTTCTCATAGCAAAAGACATGATTACACATAAATGAATATGATAGGTTCATTAAGTGTGCATAATTTCATTCTCGAATATATTATATTTAAACGTCATATAATACTTTAAATTTTGTACCGTGAAAATATGAGCAAATTAATAAAGTTCAAAAGCTCTATTTTTTCTATTTAGAAAAACATTTCTCATTATGATATTTCTACAGCGTTAAAAATTTCGAAAATGCACATATTCGATATTATGTATAATTTATCAAAGTGAAATGAAAAAGTATACGAGTATATACACATTTTATTATTCTCATTTAATATAACGATATATTTTTTATATTTATTTATATATTTTAACTTTGACTTTATATGATCCTATTTTACATTGACAAAAATTTATATAAATATGATTGACAAGTAAAAAATTAATTAAAAAAATGATCGAGATTACCTCACATTAAAAACTCGAGAGAGATATATCCCTTTTCTGTTCACTTTTTACTCTTATAAACTTCCTATAAGAGACTCAACTGTATTAATTGAAGACTTACGAGAGTATGATAATAACGGAGCACTTCCTGATCCTTAAATCCGAAATATCCACACTGCGAACGAACTTCCCTTCGAGGGAGTCAATCCGTGCGCAGGGTCATCTTAGCTTTAGAATGACCTTGAGTCTCATGATTCGGGAACTTCACAGCAAGCACGTTCACAGTATCGCGAACTCATAATGCGTATCGAATCCGCTCGTGCTTATCTAGGACCCCCGAGCTTACAGCGATGGTGCGTGTTTTTGCTGGCGAATTTCGAATGATACGACATGTCGGTCGTGAATGCGAGTAACGAAGTTGCCGTTCGTCTTTCGGAATACGTGAGTGAGATCCCGGTTCGGAAGATTGGTGGTGGAAGAAGAGTCGAGGATCTCTCTCTCCCTCGCGAGGGCCGAACTCTCACAAAATCCTCGGATACGTGGGATGACGAGGAACGGGGATTGAGACAGTGAGCGAGATGAGGAGAGAGGCGATTGGAAAAAAAAAGAGCGGAAGAAAGAAGGAAACAGGAAAGAAGGAGAAAGAGAGGAGGATCAAAGCAAAGACGACAAGCAAGTCTGTGTGAATGAGTGCGTGAGCGAGAGAGAAAGCGATAGGAAGAGTGAAAGAACACGTAGAAAGGTGAGTACTCTAGGCGAGGTGTCAGCATAGAAGCCATCTGTTCTACGACGGTATTCGCAACATCGGGTGACTAGGAAGTGAATACCGTCGATATTAACGCCTCGAGCAATCAAAGCAATAAGTGGAAAAAGATACAAATGAATAGGAACGAGCACAAAGTAACCGCGCGTCGAGATGATGAGAGACGCTCTCTCTCTCCGCTCCTCCTCGTGAGAACATCTTCATGGTCATTAACGCCGTCAAAATTACCATTTCGAGAAAAAAATTTTGATAGCATTACAGACTCACCTGTTAGAGAGCTACAAAGTAACGAGCTTTAACGAGCTCCGGATTATGCTTCCCCTCGGTAAAAAGAAGGAGGAAAAGACAGTCGTGAACAGCCGTTTGAGGAAAGCCTGATCTGTCTGGAGGCAATAGGGAGGCAGAAAGGAGAAAAGATGAGGAAGAAAGAGGGGGCAGGGGCTGTCAATCTACCGCTGCTGACGACGACCTACTGTCCTGCATACCGCTACTCGGCACAGTCTACCGCAAGAGGAACCGAACAACACCCGGTGGAGAAGTCCAGAGACTTCCTTCCAGGTGTGTGCGTCGATGAACCGATCATTATTCAGTCGCGCATTTCCAGAGACTTCCTTCCACCGATGCGCCTTCCACAATCGTTCGCGACTGATGGAGAGTTTGCCGGAGAAAGGTGAGATGCCGATTCACTTCGTGCCGCACGCTCCGCGAACTTTTCCCCCTAAATCAAATCATCGCGGATGCTTTCTAAGAGAGGATGTTCTTTTCCGACGATGTGTCGAACGCCAGCCCGGATTGGAACTTGCGTTTCCCGCAGGAAATCCCGGACAATGCGAATTAACGATCGGTTTTCTCCACATTGATTAACTTTAACCGCAGTTTAACTCGCCGCTTGTCATTTCCTGGTTCCAATTTTAGAACAGGACATGGAATTAAACGAGTTGAAGTTAATGGAAATCGATGAGACTGGTTCTAAAAGATGAAACAAAATTTCTGATAAAGTTACAGAAATGATTAACTTTTGAGTTTAATTTGCTGTATTAATATCGGAATTTGCAAATCGTTATGTGACGTGCTTTTGATTATTCGCTAATATATCTCCCTAGGTGCCCTCGATTTTAGGGAAAATTTTGTCCTCGCTGAATAATGCAAATGCATGCATTACAATATGAATGTAAACGTTCTATAAACAATAAATATTTTCGAATAATCAAACGATTGTATGATTACATTCTCTTCTTCGCTGAGCGCATAACATTGCAATCGCAATGCGCATACAAATTTATATAACAATAAACACCTCGGATATTTCAATAAATGCAGAGGACCATATCGATCTATTAACATGCCAAATATCAACCTATTATTCTGTCGATATTATGTAAAATTTTTTCACAAAAAGAAATATATCACAAAATACCTAAGGATAAATATTGTAATTTACATTGTATTTAAATTGTATTTGCACTGTCAATTATTTCTCTGTATTTTTTTTCTTTAACGCCAACTTATTATATCTACAAATATAATTTGCACTTGTGAAAATATTCTACACATTTTTGCGATTTGAAATATCATTTCGGAAAATTTGTTCATCTCCGCTGAATTTTTCATCGGGAACAAGTCGTGATTGCATGCGAATTAATTGTCAAAATAGTATGTCAAAGATATTTCATTTTGTTATATAGACATAAATTTTTGTGGGATATACTCAATCAACAATAACTTTTGCAAAGGCATCCAATTTTCGGTTATTTGTTTTATCAAAGCAAGCAAATAAAATTTGTTATCTGACTCGGAAAAGCCAATTAGATTTTCAGGAGCGGAAAGCGATTCGCACAATGAATTCATACAACATGAATTTGTTTAAAACCTAGTTGAGTTACACAATTGCCATTCAGAGCATACGTCTGAAATTTAATAGATCTCGATTTCGCGTTACAACTTTTCTAATTTCAATTTCGGTGACCTGTGTTTTGCATTCCCAAGTTTTTTTCCATTATTTTACCTCTCCGTAACTATAACACTCGACATTCGTAAAATTCCATACCAGAAAACTATATTATATTATTATATTATATTCGATCGATTTTGATAAAATTTTATGAATAATGATCGCAATATTACATTTATGCAGCAAAAATCAAACAATTGTTTGTGGTCTTTAATAAATATCACATTTAATTATTATACAGTTTCATATTGTGTACTATTTTAAATAAAAGATATAGCATAGTCTCTGCATCTAGGTATATCTATACATATATTCTATTATTATCATGGAAATTTCTATCTGCAAGTATAAATGTAACATTCTCGTCTCATCGTTAAATATTCAAATTGTTTCTCTTGCTAAATTTCAGTTGAATAAGATTATTACATAGTGCTTTATTCTTGCACAGTTTCTCAAAGTAATTCTACGAAGATCCGGCAAGTATGTAATTAAAATTATGATACTAATCATGCCATAGATGCATGTCAGTTCGTGAATATGGACGGGTTAAAATATGTTTGTACATAGTCGCTGATATGTTTGCACTCGTTTGAATGCAAACGTTATTTTGATTTTTTAGTATATAAATTAATTTTACAGATATTATGCAATAGAAGAAATTTTTATTTTCGTTGTTATTTATAAATAAATGAAACAAGTAAAAATTTAAATATATTTTAGAAAAACTCTGTATACATATAATTTATATATATTTTGATTAATTTGATGAATAATATTCCAAAAAAAACCAATATATCTGTATCAATAAGTTATATTTTGTATGAATTTGGAAATTCATTGGAAATATTTCCAGTTATAAAAATATATTTCTAGTTATTTTCTGAATTTATTCATTGATATCTACACATGCGATGCATGAGTAATTATATAAATGCATTGTACACAAAGTTTCGTGAAATGCTTTGGAGAAAAGAACTTCCGCTCTGACATATTTTTGACGTGTATTTATGACGTTACATTTTACGGGTGTTAATACCAAAAGCGTTACGTCTCATTTAAATAATGCAAATTGCAATCGTATTTCATATTCAAGTAGTCGCGAATGTGTTGAGTTATATTCGACATCAATCTTGAAAACATGAAATGGACAAGCGCACAGTTGCCTTTTATATTTAATTCACGCTCGCTACTTTTTTGAAAATAATTCTCTTTGAAAATATAAATTTTAGCGGCTATTATAGTTTGAAATATGGCGATCGCTTGTCATCGCGTTATTCACTAATATTAATTCCGGTTGACTAATTACAAATGTGTGATAAAAGATTACGATCTTGTCTGGTAGTAGGATTATATAAAAAATACAATATTTCCTTTAGAGAATTTAAAAATATTCACACGAATCACAAAGGCATTTTGTTTTCGATAAAATTATTTTGCAGCGTGATCATTTTCTCGCTTCTACGGTCGAAATCATTGTTACTCATCAAAACGTAACGGGATTTGGATATACTCGATTCTGTCGCAGCGTATCTATCCTATTATAACAGTACGGTTAATACGATTTATCGTGATAGACTTTCAATGTACGTTATTTCGCAATATTACAAAATGGACAAAAATTTTATTCATTTTCGCGGAAAGCTTAAGGCGATTTTCATATGAAAATAAAATTTTAAAATATAAGGACGCACATAAAGAGACGCACTTTTAAAATATAAAGAGGTGCATGATTAGTTCTTTATTCGTATAATTCTTTTTTTAGGCGATGAAAGTCAACTAAATGAATTACAGAGTGATTAATCGGAAGTCATCACAAATTGAGATCGGTAGATCGATAGATTTTCAATGTGAATTTTTTCTCTAAATAAATATATAAACATTTAATCTTAGAGAACGATCCAATCTTTGCCGCGGCTTGAAATACAGCACAATCTTTTACGAGTATGTTTTAATTAATTTTTATATCGTCTATTCTTTTCCTAAATTAATTAATTAATTAAATTAATCAAAATCAAAATGTTTGAAATGTAATACACTGTTTACATTCACTAATTACATTCATATCACGAAAATATTACTTGAAAATATTATTATTATCAAATTGATAATTAAAAATTATTCGTGCGTTATATATGAAGTTCAAACGACCTTAATTAAACTTTATTCATACGTAACTTTATGAATTATTAGTATCTCTCAAATTGAGTAAATTATTAATTGTTTGCTATGACATGTGACACAATTGTATATAATTATATATATAATTGTCACATATCATAACAATCGCATATATATAATTGTCACATATCATAACAAATATATAATTGTCATATATACATATAATTGTTGTATAATATAATAAATAGAATTACCAAGAATATTACTTTGTGAACAAAGCAATATTCTTAGTTATTATGTTTATTATTATATTCTATTATTATTATTTATTATTATTTATTGTAATATTATTAATCATAATAAATATTACATAATTTAATTTTACGCTTATTAATTGTTACAAATCGCTGCACTCACTGGTATAATTAATATTCTTCTGTGCACTTCGTACATGCATCATTATCATCTCTTGGGATTTTCTGCTACAAAGAACAAAATGGTTTGTAATAACTGAGGGAATTGAATTTACGACTCTGAAAACGGAACAACTGACTTCTTATTCCTCTTGTTTTATGCGCGCAAAGTACAAATTTGCGTCAGCTATTATTGTGAAATTTGTTGTTTTTTGTTGAAACGAAAAATTTCATAAATATGTAATTTTTCAATTAAGTTATTCGTTGTTATCCATTTTACATTCAGAATAAAGTCACTCAGAAATTCAATTTACACTGTG